TCGATTGACGCCGCCGAACACGGAATGGAATATCAGCAAGGAAGACTGAGAAAGCTGAGCCTTGGGAGGAAGCGAGAGAGTATGCGGAGTTCATGAGCAATGACACGATGGCAGCTCGAGATGAAAGAAGAACTCGACAATGGAACTGCAAGTAAGACTCTGGTGGGACGAAAATGAGAGCCACCATTCAATACTGGAAAGTAGAGTAAGAAAACGTTTTAATTGCAGGTTGTCCAAGGTTGAAGTTGCTTTACAAGTCTGTTCACAAGCCGCCTAGTGCACCCATCACCAAAGCGTCGATCATCTCCCCTTTCCCTATCACTAGATCTTTTGCGGGCAAACAGAGGAGCCCATTCGCTCGTCTCAGACTAGTAACTTTCGAGCTGCGCTGTCCTCCAGTGCTAGTGGCATGTAGCAGTCCATCGGTTCCGGCCGTCAATACTACTCTATGGTACTCTGAACGTCTAGGATCGCATTTGACCTCCTCGTCCAATACCACTTTCGCTCTCGGCAGCCCGTGCGGTGCCTCTCTCCCACTCGAGAAATGCAGTGACGGCAGCACGAAGAGGTGGGATGTCACAAGTGCGGATGCAGGATTACCAGGCAAGCTGAATATCAGTTTGGTGGTGGGCGTGCCTGAGTTATCCTTAAGAGGTACGGTGGCAAAAGTGGTGGGTTTCCCGGGCTTCATTGAAACACGACCAAAATGTATTGTACCGCCAAGAGACCGCTCAATTGTAGGTTTGAGGAGGTCCAGCTCGCCCATAGAGACTCCGCCGGAGGTCACAATGACGTCCACGTCGCGGAATGCGCCTCGTAGATGCTCTTCCAGAGAGCCAGGTCTGGGGAACTTGTCAGAAGGGACCGAAAGCGTTCCCAAGGTTAACTTACTTGTCTTTGGCAATACCAAGATCTACCACTTGAAAACCCCAGCCTCTTATAGCGGCCATCAGTGTTGGACGATTGCAATCTCGGACCTCTCCAAGCTGCAGAGGACCTTGTCTATCGTGGAGTACGATTTCGTCCCCTGTACTGAGCACGCCGATGACGGGCTTCTTATAAGCCATGACTTCTGCTTTCCCTACAGACGCAAGCAGACCTAGCTCACCACCCACAGCAGTGATCTCCTCGCCCTTTCTAAGCACAACTTCTCCGGCTTTGATGTCACTGCCAATCTCTCGTATGTTCTCATCTGGCTTGACTTGATCTGTGAGTATCTCAATCTCCTTCTCTTCTCTACCGTCGTCAGTCATACTCTTGATGACAGTGTCTTCAACCATGACCACTGAGTTAGCGCCGGGAGGAAGAGGAGCACCCGTAGTTATCCTGGCTATTTGCCCGTGGTGGAGGGTCGGTATCTCTCCTGGCTGGGCATGTGAGACGGCAGAAACAGGGAAGACACCTTTCGTACTTGGTCCATCTTTAGAGACAATGACGGCGTAGCCATCGACTATGCTTGCTCGATACGCGGGTACCGCTTCGCTGGCTTGGACATCTACCGCGAGGATGTGGCCTACTAGAGAGCCATTTACCGGCATTTTGACAGGATCTGGCGAAGGAGAGTTCTCTATGATCATTTTGACAGCATTCTCGACAGAGAGCATGGGATACGGTGATTCCCGATGCCGACTGCTAGGACCAGCTCGGGGGTCGTTCGTGACAGGCCGATCTTCGGGACGAGTGTGGGCTTTTGGCATAGCATGGTCCCCATGGCTGTGATTATGCTGGTGAATATGGCTGTGATGATGGTCATGATGGTTACGCTTTGGGTTCTTGCTGCTACTGATTCCTGCATCTTCTTCGAGCTTCTTTATGCCACCTGCATGGAGAGTTCGCGAGTCACCACCAGCGGCCTGCAAGCAAGCATGCGGCAGTAGCTTTAGAAGGGCCTGTAGATTCTCTTTGGCCCCTTTTGGTGACCCCGGAAGAGTGATGATCAATGTCTTATTCCGAACCCCTGCAACAGGCCTTGACATGAGGGCAACTGCAGGTACCCAAGTCAGAACGAACACTCGTTTTCAAAGCAAGCATCTTGATATCATAGGTACAGAATAATCACATAGCGTATCCGGGGATAGTATATGAATTTTGGGCTTCTTCTTTTCTCGAATGTAAAAGACTAATGGTAACTTGAATTAACACTCACAAGGTGTGACCTCCAGAGACGCTGCCAGCATCCCATGGCTGAGACTATTAGCTTGCTACACTTTGGCCTGCTTGGACTCACTTGATAACTTACACGAGGCCGGGCGCATGTCTGTGTATCAACGGTGTGATGGCTTCAGGCGTATTGTCCTTAACCGCGAAGCCAGTGCCACCGGTTGTAATCAGAAGATTGACATAGTCTTCTCCGTCACATGACAAGCTCACTGCCTTTTGAATCGTTAGAACATCATCGGGAATAATTTTCCGGTCGTCAACAGTCCATTGAGCGTTGCCTTCGTTGGTGAAAATATCCGAGAGAATATCCCCAGCTCTGTCTGTTGACGGATCTTGGAACGCAGTGTCTGATATGATGAGTATTGTGGCCTTTAATTTTGGTTTTTCCATCACGGCGATATCAAACTTGGATGTTAATCACATGATTAAGACGATATACTTGTGTACAACATGAAAAAGGTGGATATAAGAAATGCTTTCATTCTAAGCAAATGCTAGCAAGCATCCACCCGCTTTAATGGTGATATTGTAGGTAATGTAAGGGCAATCGATATGTTATCTATCTACAACTACTTATCTACGATGCCAGTACTCCATTATCTTCGTAATTTGACGAGCCTCCTTGAGCAAGAACTATGGCGTCACAGTGTAGCTCTTCCATGACAACTGACTCCAGGATGGACTATCGGAAGGGGCACTGTACAAGCAAATTACTACAACACCAAGGGCAGTTGCACCAGTTGCCATGTATGCAACGCTCATCTTTGGGTTCTGAACAGGTTTCACCAACAGTGAGCACAGAAGACGCGGCGAGCAGAGGACGACCGAGGACGATTGCGAGTAGGGTAGCCAGTATGTCACTGCGGTAATGTAGTTCGCCCAAAGCGCAAAAGTGACTCGGAAGGAATCTTTCCACCCTCCTCGTCCTCTTCCTCTCCTTCTCTGTAACCACACTCGTTGGACAAATCTGAAGCCATGGCCAGCGCCGCCAACTCATATTATGAGCTCTACCGCGGTAGCAGGTACAGTCCGGCTGCGACACTCGTGACTACAGAGACACTAACAGCAGCCCTTTGACAGCATCGGCATGTCACTCATTGACACTCTCGACGACCTGGTCCATTCCGGTCGCATCGAACCTCAGACTGCCATGAAAGTCATCGCTACCTTCGATAAGTCTATCACCGAGGTGTTGGCAGATAAGGTCAAGGCCCGCATGAACTTCAAGGTAGCAGCGCCTGCTGCTTTTGCGTAGGGCTCATGGCTAATAGGAGGTTACAAAGGGTCATCTGGATACCTACCGCTTCTGCGACGAAGTCTGGACGTTCCTCATCAAAGACGTTAACTTCAAGCTCGACAATCAAAACAATGTCACGGCGGAGAAGATCAAGATTGTGAGCTGCAATTCGAAGAAGCCTGGGGAGCAGTAGGCTGGGCTGTAGGAGACAGTCTTACACCAGTGCAAGGTTCTCTGTTGCCGGTCTACATGGTCGAACCTGAGGTATGGCATCGATATGGCGTTGGAGGAGCACCTGAGGTCATGCATTCACTAGGCGTTGGTACGGCGGACAGAACCAGGAGATACCCAGACCCAAAATGTAGAATGCATTCTATCGCTGCTCATGCCTGCATGTCTATCTAGATAACCCTTCTTTCAAAACAATATTCCAAGCCTTCTTGACTATCCACGTACTCAAACCACAGTCTTCCCTCGCTCCTGCCTTTATCGTACCGTACTCGTAGCTGCAGATCTACCTTCCATCTCCTGGACCCTGTAAATATTCGTACTTAGCCACCTCACCTAGCGCACGAATGACCCTGCAAACGCCGAGACCATCATGGCGCGACGTAGAATCCTCCACCCTCCCCCATCTACCTCAGCAGCCATGGAAACGGAAGCAGAACCTCTGATGCCGGAAGCGGTTCCCCAAGCCCAGCCCGAGCCATCGAAAAGCACCACAATCGGCAAGCTCCCCTGGATACCGCTCGCCGCGGCCAGTGGTGCTTGCGCGGCCTTCAATGGCGTCTTCGCGAAACTGTATGCCACGACATACGGAGCTCCGTTTGGAGAACGCGCAAGGCTAACGCTTGCAGCACCACGACCGAACTCACTTCCTCATGGGCATCCGGGATTTCTACCGCCTTTGGACTTTCCTCTACCAATAAAGTTGTCGAGATACTGATTCGAGCTGTACGTCCTCCATCATCCTGTCGCCATGTTTTCCTTGATTTGTTCATCTACATTATGCTTCTTTTTCCACTCTCGTTCCTGCGGCTGACGCGCTCTTGGCAACAGTTCTTCTTCTCCCTCAACCTCGCCTTCAATGCCCTGATGTGGGCGCTCTTTACCTCGGCGTTAACCCGCGCCTCCTCTACCACTCGCGTCTCTATAATCAACACTTCTGCGAATTTCATGTTGACAGCTTTCTCGGGATGGATGGTTTTTGGTGAGAAATTGCCGGGGCTGTGGTGGGTAGGGGCTGCGGGGTTGGTCGTTGGAAATGTAGTAATTGGAAGAAGGGACGAGGAGGGGGATGTTACTTTCAAGGGCAAGGTGGGAGAAGATGGCGGACGAGGGGAGCAGCAGGGAGAAGAGCAAAGGAGAGAGGGTTATAGAGATCGAGAAGGAGAGGAAGACGTGGACGGTGGTGGGGGAGAAGGAGCTATAAGTGATGGAGTCGAATTGGATGAGGCCAAGGTCATAAGGTGAGTGTACAACGGTGGGTTATCGCGAAGTCATATACTTTGAACGTCTTATAATTATCATCTTCTGCATTGCAAGCATAATCTATGAGCGACTCTGAGCAATCACATTAGCCATTGAAAGCAAATTGCGACTTTCAGTAGGGACTTCCACCGTAATATTGCCCAGGAGGAAGGGGCGGACCCCCATAGCCGTACGCTTGTGGAGGGGGAGCATTTGGATCATAGCCATAAGGTGGAGCTTGGCCATACCCATATGCAGGTGGTTGGGGTGGGTAGACACCTTGTGGAGGATACTCTCCAGCTGGGGGAGCCTGAAGATCTGGCTGCCACTGGGATGGTTGCCCATACATTTGTCCCTGATGGGGATTAGGTGGGTAAGCTGGCTGCTCGTATGGATTTTGCTGCCGAGACTGTAGATCCTGCTGAGGATAATACCCGAAGTCTGGGCGAGGTGACGGCTGTGGTGATGGACGTGGCGATGGGCGATTGACTCCTTGAGCCTTGCCAACCTGGTCCCACCTGCAAGCTTCGGAGTCAGTATGGCTCCTTCGAGCAAAAGTACCCGGGTTTTAAGACAGGTTTAGGGAATGAAACCGCTCCCGAGACATGTCTTGCAGCTCAATGAGGGAGGGTTTTGCTCTGAAATGTCCACTTACGGTGCATCCCGGACCTTGCTCTGACTGGCAGATCCGAAGAAGTTGCTAGGATTAGGAAGCCCGCCATGACTGTGTGACTGCTGACTGGCGTCTACTGTGTGATTCTTGCCATGCCTCACGCTCTCAGAGCCTAGCAGGACGTTGAGATTGGATCCTCCGTCAGGCCGTGAGCGTGCCCAGCTTTCGACGGTACTGTACATGTTCCGGTGAAGCTCACAGTCGGGTCTTCGAAGGGCTGGATGATGGAAGACTCTAACGACGTCATTTAGGACCTGCTCCACCGGAATATCGGGATGCTGCCAGGCAAATATAATACGAGGTGCAACGTATTTCAGAATAGTAGATGCAACTTGACCGGCTGGTTCATTTAGTATGTTGGAGAAGTGGTCTTTGGACAGCAAAGAGTGTCTTGATGATTTCAGAGTCAGCATTACTCTTTCAGGAGGAACTCTGAGTCGAAAGACATGTCTTACGAGCAGAGAACTCTCGAGACATGCCTGACGACCCATAAGACAGCATGAGTGGGGAAGAATTGCCTCGGAAAGTATAACGTACGTTGGGTCTGAGCAGTGAGGGTCTGTCCAAGGCTCATATTGATGTTTACCACTTGCATCAATGACACCGCCGCTCCCCGCTTTGAGCTGCGCTGAGACTGCGTTGATAATTGGGCGAATGAAAGGCGCAAGAAGTGAAAGGACGAAAAGCGTCAGTGTTTCTGAAATCTTTTCCACCAGAGCTTCGAGGCCAGGGATCTTCTCAATAGTAACATTGACTAGTTTGACCACTCTGTCCCGGAACTCTAGGATGCTGGATTGCGTCAGTATTGCCTGTTTGAGGGGCTATATTGAACCTCGAAACATGTAAATATGGTGGACACTCCTAAGACACGTCTCGAGACTCAAGACTTGATCCCAAGGATGAAATATAGACACCGAAATACGTACGGATATATTTGAGCAGCCGTTTTCATTGGATCAATGTTCGTACCAGGGATGTTGGGTCCGGGGGGTCCACCTTGGGTCCCAGGAGGTCCTGCGAATTTTCGGTCCAGGTCAGATCCAAATGGAGGCCCAGTAGTCGTTCGTTCCCGGACATCTGACATTGCTTGAAGATCAGCCGCTTGCCGGGCAAGGTCACCCGTCCCGGGTAACTGAGATAACAGACTGGTCATAGTGGATAGGCCTTGAGAGCTGTTGAAATCACGGCTGCCATCCTCTGACGTCTTCGACTGAGCTTCGGCGTCCTTGAGCGCTATGTCCATCTGTTCCACCTCTGTTTGTGCGAAGTGGTCAGTAGCTTCGCCGAGTCTTCTGCGTATTAGCTCTTGTATCTCAAATTTCAGAATTGAGATTCTTACACGCTATGCAGAAAATCGACTACTCCGAAAGTTCCCGTAACCAGGGGAAACACTGGATGCTGAGCCCCAGGTATGTTGATCTCGGTCGCAGTTCCAGTATGTGGGAAGACGCCTTGAAACCCCAGTTCACGCAGAGCAAGCTCCGTATAATTCGTGTGAGCACCGAAGTCTTCTAGACAATGCAGTCCCTGCCTGGTGACGATGGTTCAGTACGCGCAAGTAGAGAACTTGAAAGACGAAGAATCACACCCAAGACACCTCAATGCTTCGCACAGGTCTGCCTCCTTGCCCTTCGTACCGCTTGCTCCACTAGTGTACACCCTTCCAAAGTGTATACTCCTAGTAAAAGAGAACCTAACATATCCGGCTGACGTAGCGATGTCGAGATCTTCATTAGCAATGTAGTTCTTCATTCCCGTCCGTGGGTCAACCTCCAGCTCATTCGCTTGGACTGGTGGGCGTAATCTCTCATCATACTTCCTAGCATCAACATTGTCTGCGTAGTCCTTCGGATTGTCAATATGCTCCTCGGGCCTGTAGACACCCAGTCTTTCCTCGGTCACTTCGAACTCCGCAGTAGCGTATCCGAAGGACTGCAATATATGTTAGTTGAGGTTCATTTTTATCACTTTGGGTCTGCGAAATACCAAAAACGATAGGACCCAGACGAGGATACGGACAGTGCCAGCCTGAACACCTTTGAGTGACCCTACGTCCATAGCTTGACTATAATCTCGCAACCAGTTGCCGAAGTAAACTCGCCTGATCATCATACTCGTCCATTTGTGGCCCTTGATGAAAGCAATTGTTTTGAGCATATCCTCGATATCGCCACTAGATCACAAATTCGCAGTCAGTCCTGCCCATTTCAAGGAGTATATCGAGCCTCAGAACATGTCTCGCGAGTAAAGACATGTCTCATGCATGACCCAAGATTTGGTCAAAACCAGGGACTCTGGACTCCAAAAATACGCACTGGCGCCAATTATGCCCTTCGATTTTTGATATCGAAGCTGAGCATGGCGTTAGCAAGATCTACCGCATAATATTGACACTATCACTTACCTATATTCCCAGCCCCAAAAGCTGCCACAGGCGAAGCGTAGAAAGCGAGGAAAGCAAGTAGCGCGAGACAGAGCGTAGAAGATCGGTAAGCCATGTCGCCAGTTATTCTTTGTGTAACAAACAGCTTGAGATGCTATGACACCCTTATGGCCATATCTTACAACGAAGTCATCCAAGGGTCGACGTGGAGTGTGTGGGGCCTCGTGATTGTTCTATGTAGCAGTGGCTGAGGGTTCGAGATTATATCGCTGCAAGGACTAGTATTTAGTCTATAGCTAATGGAAAAGATCTACGAGCCTGTACCGGTCGAGGCTAGAATACGCGGAGCTGGAGAAGCACTTAAACATAGTGTGTCTGCAAATCAAACGCCCAGTGGTTATCAGACAGATTTTTGGCCGTGTTCGACCTCCTCATGTAGCGAGTATGCCTTTATACTTCAAGTACTTGTAATGGACCATCTCCATCCCAGCCTGGCCAGAAGGTATACCTGGAGAAAGTAGCTTGTTAAATTGCATGATGTCTGTAACGAAGCTCCGAAAAGCACACTTCAAGTGTGGGTTGACGGGAGAAACCTGTTGCAATGGTGGTGGACCTTCTGGTTGGCGTCAGTGGTAGTAACAGTGACGGTTGCTTTTGAGGTCGTTGGTTTATATGCCGGGTTTGGGCAGGTCGCCATTCAATGGTATGGAAGGATAGAAAGTCTTGGGGTCCCAAAGTTATCGCGAAGTGGGCTGCACGCTAGTAAAGATGTTTGACAGTCCGTAACTACATCACATATACAGTCTTATCTAGTACCGTACAGAACAGTCCACCACTGCTGCCGAGACCATCTAGCAAAAGGAGCTACCGACACGCCAGGCAATGCAAACGCTTGCTCATCTCGATGGAGATAACGCAAAATGGGGTATGTGTCTAGAGACTAGAGTAACAACACCTGCAATGCTGCTCTTAAACAACTCAACGCCTTTCCTATCATACACAGGTCTTTCGTTGTGCTCAATGCGGCTACTGAATCGGCGACTGGATAATCTGCGGTAATTGATTCTGTTGCTCGTTCATCTTATGCAATTTATCGCGTTCCGCATCGGTCAAAGAATGATACAACTCTTGGAACCCTGGGTCGTTAGATATACCATTGAAGAAATCGACGAGGTACTTCTGTGTCGCGTCGTCGGTCTCATGCGTGTTCCATTTGGCCTCGTCCATGTACCCCATCAGATCTGCAAAGGGTATTCGTCAGCTTGATGATTGAGAATAGGGAGAGTAGCTGATGTACTGACCCTGTCTCGTGGCCTGAGCCCCGAGATCCAATAATGTGGGCTCATCTTCCCAGTCATCGTCTTCATCGTCGCTTATGCCACCCTGAAGACTGTGATTTCTCTTGTGAAAGCCAGGCGTGGTGGGACTGGAATTGGCAAGCTCCTGGATAAGGACCTTGATGAGCTTGAGTGGGATTGGTATGATCGAATATTGATCCGGCTCTCTCTTGGACTGGGAGCGTGTCTTGATCCGGGAGCTGTTCTGCACGATTAGATCTCCTTTAGCCTGGATGTTCAAAAGTCGCTCGTCGTGAAGCTGGTAAATGTTCGTCAGCGCAATGACGTTCTGTCTGATGGCGTCGTATCCCGAGAAGTTGATAGAGTTCTCCAGCCACTTTCTCAGTACGACTTCGAGACCTGTGCCACCATCGGCGCCTTCCACCTGGACTTGGGCCAAAAAGTCGAGAACCTCTTTCGCATTAGTCAGAGACAGTCGAGCAAACACGAGGACGAGGTTCTGAATGAAATTTGCACGTTCGGCTGTGCTCAGGCGGATCGCCACAACTTGCAGCAACTGCATGAGATACGGCCCCAGTCTTTCGGCGCCTGCTTTCTCGACCAACTCCACGGCGAGGCCTCCAACCTCTGCTGCTGAAGAGTCATCAACCTCTGGACCTAGGAGCCGGTCAATAATGAGAAGAACAATTTCCAGGCCTTCCTTCCCAGTCTCTGGATCGCGCCAAGCGAAGAGTTGAGCAGGATCGTGCACCAAAATATATTTGATCGTGATCGTGGCTGACTGATGGACGCTGAACTCTAGAGGCAGGAACAGAAGCCGGTATAATTTTGGGAGTAACGTGGCAACAAATCCCTGAGGTAAGGGTTCTGATCCATACTCTGCAAGGGTAGCGAGCAAAGATACAGCCATGTCGCTGAGCGAGTTTTCCGAGGTCATATCTCCCACGTCCAGGGCGCCTGTCAGGCTCGGGAGAACCTTCGAACACAGCCGAGCATAAGTTTCGGGTCCCTTTGAGGACATGATGGAAGTAATGGATTCAAAGGTCTCATTAACAAGCATCGATGTTTGCCAGCTGCGAGCACCATACGCCGCCATTGTAAAGAGCACATCAAGAGCTGGGTGTTCAAGGCACAAAGTGGGATCGGTCATGACAGCGTCTCGAAGAGTCTCTACCAGTGTATCCAGGAGATCTTCGGTGTCGTTGATCTCACTGAGATCATGCGATGACAAGAAACCGGAGATCGCGGCCACGGTTTGGACTTGGAATTCCTGAGCTCTCCCTGCTGGTAAGACTTTCAGGTATTGCTGGAGTACACGCATAGAAGAGACTTTGACGATATCGGAGGATTCATGTTCGATGGCCTTCAGAGACTGAAGTGCGAACTCAGGGACCAGATCCCGCAATGCTTTCCCGGGTGCAGTGATGAGAGCACCCGCCGCAATGAAGCCGCGCGCTCTCAAGAACTCGCTTCCACTGTCCTGCATAGCGGCCTGGCAATGGCTGAGGTACGCCTGGGCGATTTCTGGACCCACGGGTCTCTCGTACGAGCTGACTTCTTCTAACACCTGCTTGAGAACATATAGCACCGCCTCCTTTTCCTTTGGACTATTTTCGCACTATCAGCTAATGAACATTCCATCTCGGAGGATGGAATTCTTACTTCGACGCTCCACCCTCGAAGACCGTCTTGCTATGGGCCAGCAGACTTTCGAGCACAGGCCAATTGTAGCTGCAAAGTTTCGTTGCGAGGCCCGCGCATGCATTGCGAGCGGAGTAGTTCGCCGTCTCCGATGTTTCTTCTGACAGAAAGACGTTAATGTCCACCTCCCAGAGTTCTTCGTCCTCAGTCAAGATCTGAGAATAGCCAACAGCAGTAGCTAGAATTTGCTGAATCCAGGTACTATTGGGAGCGCCATTAGTTATTCTCTCAGGCGCCAGTTGCACATCCAATTCGCGTTTGATTATCGACGTGTTCAAAAGTGTCTGGATGTAATCGAGCTCCTCGATAACAAGGTAATCGAGAGTATACGGCAGTCGATCTGCGTCATCCATACGACTCTGTCTTTGTTGGTCTCCGGTATACATCGTGAGATATGGTGATAGGTGAGCTTGTAACGACTCCCATATCGTGCTGAACAACTCTAGGGTGCGCGGACTGAGAAGCTGCGGAAACAAGTTATGAATTTTGTCGAGTGCCTAGGGAATTTGTCAACGCAACGTCAACCAAGAATGATCACTACGCTTCACCTTTACGACCTGGGTCTTCAGAGCAATCACCCCTCGCCAATTCGAGTCCGCGGGACCCTTCTCGTTTTCTTCCTCTTCGCTCGGCATGTGTGGAAGAGGCATCTTGAGAACCTCTATGAAGAATGGTGACCACACATCCGAGAGTTCTTGCATGAACTGCGTCACAGAAGCCTTGTTGGTCTGATACACCAACTCCATGGTGTCGAGGCACGCTCGAAAAATCGAGACCGCCAGTGCCCTCGTCGTCAGCCTCTTCTCCCCATCGACAGCCACAATGTAGATACATCTGACGAGGTCGATCGCGCTTCCGGAGAATTGCTCTTCATCGAATCCGTCTTCAACAAGACTGCCAAGGACCAATAGCGCGCCGTGCAACTGTGTCGCATCCGCCTGTGGGACGAGGTTCAATAGGGTGGGGAGCAGGCTTGGCCATTGCTCTGGAAAGTCGGCACTTGCGATCTTGCTGACGACGTAGCTGGCCGCCGCAACGATCTTCCTCTCTTCATCGGAGGCTGTCGCAATGGACAGCACCGACTGCCGCACTTGCTCTTTGGTCGCGTCGCTCAAGGTATCCGGACCTTCGTATTCCTCCAGGGATGGCGACCATATCTTCAATACCAGTTTTTTGAGGGAGAGAAGCGCGGCCTGGCGATGATCGAGAGCGACAGACTTGTGAGACGCTATGGAGATTAGGGAGATTGGGAATGTGTCGTTAGTGTAGAGTTGTTCCAAATGGCGCTCTGCATCACTGCGGATAGAGGTCGAGGCAACGAGTGTGGCCGCTAAAAGATCAAGGACTTGTTGCTCCATGATTGCAAGAACATGCACCTGAAGAAAGGTGTGCACTTAACAAAATGAAATGCGACTTGGATTATCGTGCTATCGACTGGGATTTCGAAATGTTGTGAAGCGCCAAGCTTTCCTTTTCCACGCGTTTCCGGCAGGTCTGCCGACAGTAGCGTCCCCGCAATGTTAACCTTCTTCAGGACCGTGAATTTCCTCAAAAATGGCTTCTTACAACTCCGAGGCTCCTCTATTGAATACCTATCAAGCTGTCGTCTCTGCTTACAGTGATTTCCTCACCGTCGTCATCCACACTATCCTCTATGAGCGGAATATCTACCCTCAAACCTCATTCATCAAGGCGCGTAAGTACAATTATCCTGTGAGGCAGAGCAGACATCCAAAGCTGTGCAAATGGATAATGGATGCTGTTGCTTCGGTGGAGGCGGAGATGTTGAAGGTAAAGAAGCCTCTCATGTGTGACTTGACTGTATCCTGATTCAACTCGGAAAATCACTGTGAAGTGTCGAAGTAAAGTGATGCATCAAATCCTATCGTGAAGTGGCACGCTGCTGTCAGAGTGCTTCATCATGTTGGCTACCTAAATCACTGCCTGATCGGAAAGAGTCATAGCGAAGTGGTATTGAATGAGATCTGGTCAAGGATTTCTTCAGATGTATACCTTACGTCCAGCTAGGCTCAGTGTTTAGAAGGCAGCAAAGCTATGCTTCTATGAACAGCCCGACTGAGCCCTCGAGGTCCCGGCAATGCCCCGTTACTCTTACCACAAGCTCCCACAATACTCATCTACTGTGCAGCATGGAACATAACATTCCATGAATTTGCTGATCATGTTTGAGAGTGTAGTGCACCGTTGCGCAAACCTCAGTCGTTATTCATGCACCTCCGCCTAGCTCTAAGCCTCTCGAACGCTACGTCTTCTCCACTGCGTCCTTTCCCCGCATACAATCCTCAGAAACGCTCACGACTTTCGCTTCTCCACCTGCTAGCGACCAATCCGCAAGCACCGAAAAGCCACCCGATGTGCCCTCAGCCGCTACACCCAGACCTGCCGACCTTAAAAAGTTCAACCCTCCACCTACATCCGACCTCCCAGAACAATTCCGCGCTACTCTTGCCCGGCTATCCACTTCTCTGACTCGCCTGAACCCTTTGCCAGAAGACTGCAGCTTTACCTTAGCCATCGAATTGCGAGATGAAGAGGTGGTGGACGCGCCGATAGGAAGGGGAGATCGCTGGGTCGCTGCTGAGCCGGGCCTCCAGAAAGAACGGAGAAGGGATGGTAATGACTATGGAGGTTTCGAGGGTGGCAGTGGCGATACAGAGGTCGTCGAGGTTGGACTAGGTGAAAGTAAGAAGGGGAAAGATTTGGGAGGAGTGCGGACCACGCCGGTGAGAGCGCTCGAAGCCGGAGCGTTTAGGATGGAGGTATGGATTGAAGAAGGGAGAGGAAAATTCCAGGCGCAAGTGGAAGAGGACGACGAGTATGAGTATGGGTAAGACTCGTGAGGCCGATAGCGATTCGGCGAACATAGCAATGGACTTGAATGACCTCTCTACCATGTTGTTCCATTGATTCTTAGCCTTACTCAAAACATCCACACAATCATACACAGCCCCATACATATCAAAACCTTTCCCACCGACTTTCCCTCTCTTATCCTCGAAACTAGCCCCAATACCAGCAGCGCAAACGCCATTGCTGCGCCCAGCCTCCTGCTCCGAGGCACCAAGAGCATTATGCTACACAGAACGTCCAGTACACCAACAAGCTCTCGCAGCGTGCTTGGATTTATAGAAGAGGTAGCTCGCTCCCGGCTGATCTGCTCCGGTGTTATTGGCGAACTGAGTCTAGTGATACCGGCTGAGAGGACGGTGAAGGATAGGACGAGGGCGGAGAGGAGGGAGAGGATCGATGCGAAAGACATGATGAAGTGTGAGAGAATGGGTGGGGAGATTTTTATTCGGTGAGAGGGTGAACATGTTGGTAAACCAGCACTTTCCTATCTGAGGTTTTGGAGGTTCTCAACTTTGAACATCGTGGTTGGTTGTGCACAGTTGTGTATAGTTGTGTCGTTAGTTCAATGCAGCAAGGATCTTTAGCGGTGGCTTTCCATATGGCCTTAATAGCGGCTGGTGGCGGAATCATCCTAAGCCCTTTTGGGTCGCGTATTTGAAGACCACTCGATCCTGAGGCATACAGTAGCAACAAGCTATGAACGCATCTCTAGGACTTTTAAATCATTATGCGGATAGTAGGCACGAAAAGTGCATTGCAAGTAGTGTGTACATCTACTCTACAACAACAGACCACAAGCAAAGGGGGCCAGACCAACCCGCCCAGCTTCCCTCAGAGGCTGGTTCAAGGCTTTAGGTTTCACTCCAGGAACCCACAATCACCCTGCCTCTACCCAGGCTGACCTTGTCCCCTACTACTGCTGCTAACGTCGCTACTGAACCAAAACTCTCCGACATACGCCAGAGTCGGTCCCAAGTTCCATTCCTTTTACCACCACTTGTACTTTCATCACTTGTGTTAAGGGTCCCCTCTAGAATATCTGTTATCCACAATATTCGCGCAACATCAGGGATATATCCGCATTCGACCAACATGACTACCGTCAACCATCCCAGGGACCTTTTGAAGGCCCCGCCAGTCGCATTCGATGTAAGCGGTGGTCAATGTCATCATCGTAACCCTAGCGCAGCTTTCGAGTTATCATATACAACATAAGTAATCGAGACAGCCGGAACCACTTTCAGCAGGTTTGGCGTGATGCCTTTGAACAACCCCCTAATTCCCTCCCCTTTGACCGTCTTGACCGTCACGTCCCAAATGCCGGTGTAGGTCGGCGGATGTATGGCGGTGCCTTGACTCTGCAATCTCGTTCGAAGTAAATTGAGTGGATAGACAGTACTGGCGCCAAATGCACCACTAAAAGCGCCAATGCTGGCTGTGGTGAAGTTACTGAGTGTGACGTCGTCCTCGTCGCATTTCTTTAGCCGCGCTTTGCGTCTGCTAATGATCTGCTTGAGGTACTCGAAGGTAGTAAGGTCGATGGCGCTGTAAGGGAACATGCCGACGAGACCCATAGGAAGGCCGCGGTAAAAGGAACGAACGCCACTGGTAGCCCACATCTTGCGAGCAGTAGCGAGGATCAAGGCATTGCCGTGAAGGCCGCCTTTGATAGTCTCGTTTTGGACACGGCTGGGTCAGAGTCAGTGAATGGGTTGATCCCCGGAAAATGGTGCGATTCGGGCATACAATTTTAAGGTATCGAGGGGATAGACGCAAAATCTAAATCACGGTAAGCAATGTCGGCCAGACATATCACAAAGGCTGATTAACTGTGAAATGAGTCCACCCAGGCCAGCGGCGAAGAACTGCGTCCAGGGCTTTAGGGCTTTTGGATCATCGTGACCTTCAAGGCGCGCCAGCAGACGTTTAGAACCCTGCAGTGTTGGTCAGCTTGCAATGTTTCAAAATATCCGAGTCCCTACCTCATAACTGCCGAATTTGATGGCAGACTCTGGCATCACTTTGACGACGTTGAGCCCGTTCCCGGCGAACAAACTTCGTATGCCTCCCATACGCCATAGTGCCTTGGTCGCCTCCATCAACGGTCTCCCTGCTGTCTTTGCTGCTTTCAAAGGAGCTCCCGACTTTGCGTGATTTATTGCGTCGTCCTTGACCCCGACCTGCGCTATAAGGTACACCTTCAGGCGATCCAAAGGCGCAGTCGCTGTTCGAGAGACAACGCCTGCGATTCCGCCGGCCACGAAATAACCTACCGGGGGAAAGATATCCGTCAGCAGGAACATTTCTCTGGACGCATGTTGATCTTCTGCAGAATCGTCTGGGTCATAAATGTCTTCGTATTGAGCATCCTGATCGCCCGGATCCCAGGGAAAAGTGACCGGTATAGATTTTGCTGTAGCTTGTGCGGAAGCTATCTGTTGATGTACCGGCGACGCGCCTTTTGACCGATCTTGTAGAGTGGCCGGTTTGGCGAGGCCGAACAAAGCTGCAAAGAGATTCCTAGGAAATTGGATTTTACCTAACCCCTCCACGTTATCGTCTGATACGTGCACATCCCCCTCTGGATTAACGGTAACGGTGGAAGAATAGTAGGAAAGTACTGCTCGTAGGTTCGGGGTGTTCGCCGGGATGAACAGCAGAAAGTCCCTTGATTTACGTCAGTCTAGCATCTAGGAAATTTCCTGGAGACATATTTGGATACCTCCACTCATCAAAGGTGATGACGCCGTCGTGGTTAGTATCAACCTCGGAGAAGAATTGATCAAGTTTTGTTCCTGGAAGCTGAATCCCAGCCCTCTCAAACGCCGATCTGATTTCCCCCTTGTCCAGTTGCCCATTATGATCTCGGTCAATACTCTTAAAAAGTTGCCAGAGCTCTTTTTCCGTCTGTTCGACAAACTTTCGAAATTCTGATCAATTCTTTAGTCATGCCTCCCATTGGCATTTCTCTTTGAACGCACCGGAGTAATCTATGCGACCATCTCGATTCGTATCCACAGCCTTCATGACATCTTGGAGAAGGGAGTCAGCATTCTTGAGAGCTGTACTGACTGTCAGAAAGCTTCCTATCATAACCGGGCGGTACAAACGATGGTTTATGTTGCTCAGCCCCTTCTTCAGGCCATTGAGGTTCAATCGGCCCTCGTTCCGAGTATCCAATGTTTTCCATAGTTTGCTGACTCGGGCATCTTGGACGGTCTGGTCCTCACCGTCCATGATGCCAGGAGGTCAAATTACCGCTGTTGATTCATGGCTTCTGAAGGGAAGGGAATTCTGCTTATTGTCGGAGTAGACTATGCTATAGCCTTGCAAGAGAGACGTTACGCGTCCACAAAGGACATCAATGCAATACTCTATTTACTTTGGTGATGGTAGGGCGGAGTTGTGAGTAGTTGGGGAACTATTCTCTGGCACCCTTGGTTGATTGCAGCAGCGGGGTGGCCGTTAGGCTACCCGCTAAAATCTCGGTCCGGACCGCCGCCATGCTGTTGAAATGCATTTGGCATCAATCTCGACCAGCTCGGAGGTTCGACAGGATGGTAATCATCTGATTCAACACATGTGTTGAGGCTGCTATTGAGCACTGGTGGACTGCGAATTGTACTGCCTACTCGAACGTCTAGCGACGGGAGGTGTTTCTGCTTAAGATCTACACTTTGACAAAAGAGCAAGCGGCAGTGGCACCTTCCCCTCTGTGCCTTGCTCTGGCCTGGGATCGAAGGGTTGGTTGTTATGGTGTACTACTAACATTGTTTCAATGCCCGTATTGCAAGGCATATTGATACACATCTCGAGCTAGCGTTGCCACAGATTGAGAGATGGCAGCAAATTACTGGGCATCGACTCAGCGCCGCCACTGGCAGTATTCTCGAGAAACTTTGGCAGAGATAAGGCAAAAGCTCGAGGATGATGATCGTGCCCTGGTCCAGCAGTACCCATTGCCGGATCGCCGTTTACTAAGCCACCTCTTCAATCAGCGTACGTAGTCACATTTGTTGTTGAAGGCGGCAGACTTTCTCGGATTTTCTGACAGAAGTACATTAGAGCTGGCCAAGTTTGGGAAGCGGTTGTCGATACGGCAGCAGGCTGTCGCCACAGCACAGGTCTATGTCCGCAGATTTTACAGCAAAGTGGAGATTCGGCGCACGAACCCCTATCTCATCCTCGCTACTGCGTTCTATTTAGCTTGCAAGATGGAAGAATGCCCTCAGCATATAAGAACTATCGTGAGCGAAGCTCGCTCGATGTGGCCAGGTTCGTTCCGCTAACTGTTCATCAATTCATCCTAGCTGAAGAAGACCTAAGCAGACTTCATCATCTCGGATGTTTCCAAACTAGGCGAATGCGAGTTCTATTTGATCTCTGAGATGAATTCTCAGCTCATCATTCACCATCCTTACCGTACCCTGCAGGATCTCCAGAACACTTTGAGCATGGCACAAGATGACACTTCGCTGGCATGGTCTATCATCAACGATCACTATATGACTGACTTGCCACTTCTTTACCCGCCACATGTGATTGCGGTGACTGCAATATTTCTAGCCCTGACATTGAAGCCAACGCAGGCTGGGTTGCAAGCTGCAGCCAGTACCGCAGCAGCTCTGAGCAGTGCCACACCGATGCCGAAGGACCAGCCTGGAAGTATGAATGGAGTCCCAAATACCCAGCAGAAGAAGGTGCAGAACCTTGTTAGCTGGCTGGCCGAGGGCGAGATCGACATCAAAGCAGTTGTTGAGTGCTCACAGGAGATCATATCACTTTACGATGTATTGGAGCACTTTGTTGATAAGATTTGTAAAGAGCAAATAGCTCGCTTCGTTAAAGCCCGGGGCTTAGACAAATAAGACGCCAGTATGTTGAGGGCTTGCCAGTGAGGAGCCTTGCCATGTACCCATGCCAAACCATGCTCATACTAATATTTGTCTCTTGAAGGGTACGGCGTCAATTACTAGTACACACACTCCACGTATCTGGCGATGTCTGGAGCTTCCTCGCTCGATAAAACGCCACTGGAAGGGACACATGCGGCATTTCCTCCTCCTCGCTCCTAAAGAGTGATATGTATCGCTCCTGCCCACTGTGTCAGTTGAGTACGTGAATCTGTGGCAAGGTCCACTACCGTAAGCGCGCTCTAGCCCTTCGACCATTGCCTCTGCTTCCTCACGATTCGAGGCTGCGAGAGGCCACAGCTCAAGATCGTTTGAGACTTCTTTGTCGAAGTGGCTGCCGAAATGGCCACCGAAAGCGCGATCCGTACCATTGATGATAGCTTCGGCCTCTATCCCACGCCGATACAGCTCGTCACTATTATCGTTTGGAATATGACCCGCTAGCTCTTTCACCGTAGCTTCTTGAAACATCACCCGTCTGTCAATTAGAGTTTCAATGTCTGACCCATTGACAGCCTTCTCTGAATCTGTACGTTCGCGAGCAAGATACATGGGACCAAGTGAAGACTTGATCGTAGAGTCTGACTTTTGCTTAAAGCTATGGGCGTCTGTTAGACTGGAAATCGTTGGAGACGAAGATGTCGCAGTAAAATGATCTCTTGGGGCGTCTTTGCCAAACAAGCTACGCGAAAGCATCAAGCCTTCTGAGGCCATGTCGGTACCATAATTGGTACTTAGCGCGAGTAGGCTATAGAGGTCCGGTGCTGAGACGTTATGGTATTCCTTATCTTTATTCAGATAGGTTGGATTCGCCATATGGATTGACTACCCTTCAATTTCGGTCGCAGCTTGTCTGTCCCCTTGAAACGATCGAGGGTCCCTACCGCAATGACGCCTTAACGAATTTGGATTTCATGGGAAAAGGCGGCTGGTTGTCTTTCGTCCGGGCGGTAAGATACCTAGCACCTCAGTCAGAATGTAACCTAGCATGACTGCCATTGGTAATCAAGACAATAATCACCCAAAGCTGGCGAGGTCAGGATACAAGGAGCAACTGGACACGCATATTGAGGAGCAGCCCGTTGGTCCTATTCAGGAAGTCAAGCTTATGTAGATCGGAGGCTTGTTCGTATGAAAGAGCAGCAGTGACCAGAGCGCGGCTGATGATCATGAGATTAATTGAAAAGGAACAGGAGGATCCGATTTCCCACAAAGACTTACCTAGGAGACCGATCTAACTAAATATCAAGCGCAGAACCGAACTTTTTGCCTTATCTCTGGAGCTGGGAAAATTTGTACTAATTAGGTCTTCGAGCTGCAAACGCGATGCGACTCAATACTTCCGGTCTATGCTTTCACGTTATTGGGCAAAGAGTGACAATCTTCCAATGCACAGTTGCAGGTCATAGCACCATTGGAGATTTCTGAATGCAGGTAACCGCTTGAGGACTACTGGAATCCAAGGGATGTCATCACATGGCATATTACTAAGAGCGAAAATTTGCAGTCTCTGAGATTATCATGTGCTGCGAGCTGTGAGAGAGCTGAGGTAGACGACGATGATCCACCATAGATTACGACCTCCTACGTTTGGATGATCCCACGGCAGCGCTTAGGTACGGACATGTTGTGCCCATCACTGGTATGTTTGCTAGCGTTACTTAGCTGTGCATGGTACTGAAATGCGGCTGCAGCCCGACATTGAACTGCCAATGACAAGAACTCCCGCCTGGCCTGCCACTGCTACCAGCCTCGCTATCGGTTGGAACGAAAACACCTTCACACCCTCTACGGTGTACGCCATATGGATCTAGTCGTCTTATGAGATGACTTTCAATCTGCTACTGTACCTCATTTTTCGCCCCTGCGGGTATTTGCGAAGCAGAAAAACCTCTGTACCTTTTGCTCTCGTTGCAAGATTTTTTGTTCTAGCCGCGCTTCCTCTCGCGACAACCATTCCTCGGTCCAGTAGACAGGCTGTCTGCTGACTCTGCGAGGCTTGGAATCTCGCTAGGACAAGGGCTCATTTGAACAGCGTATTCGTAATTTGGCACGTCTCGTTTCAAGGTTGTGCTCAGGCGTAAGCGTGCGTACTCGAGATCCAGTGGAGCTGAGACCCACCAAGGCATGTTCGACTCTCTCCGTCGTTTATTCTGGACTGGACTGGCTGTGCTCATGTTTTCCGCAACAATCATCATTTAGATGAGTTCCACTGTATAGCTATTCGGTTTCGTACGGTCACAGCATTCGCTGGGACTGACCGACAAATACAGACCGAAAGTTTTGGAATGTGGAAAGACATCTCATCCCAACCCTAGGAATGAGAATTTGTACAAGCCGCATACAAAAATTTGAGGAACGAAAAAGGATCTCGCAAGGGTTGAACGTCAATCCTTCGGGAGCAAACGGATGATCAACAGGCTTATGCCTCAATACATCTAACAGAGAGTTTTCTTCATGCAAGTTGCCTTCGGGCAACTCTAATTTACTTGGCTTCTCGACCAAGATACGCCTCAACAATCACGATCAATCACGTACGAGACAAGATAAAAGTCAGCTGTGTTGGATTTCGCACCTGGTTCTAGTACATTTCGTCAACTTTTTAGAAAGCGACTTGAAGGATTCAAAAAAACTCGCATACCTGGGAGAATTGAATGAGTGCCTGGCCTACCAACGCCTGGCAATTTATGGTGTCCTGTCAAGCGAGGATGCTCGCTCCTGTGATCGCTGCCATCCCAGCCGCGCGTTCGAAGGTACTCATGACCTTTTCCTCCACTTTCTCGTGGACAAGTACCACGACACGATAATTGACGTGGCCTCCGACAGGAACTGCAACTGTTGGGTCGATTTCCGTTGCTGAATAGGTAGCTTGTGTTATCCTCCATCGTCTTCTTCAATATCGTCGAGGTCCTCTCAAGGCCTTGGTGGTCATTGGGAACATCATAAGGAACCTGGATGCCGCATCTATCCTTTGAGCGATGAAGCTCTCCGCTTGCATCTCTGTTCACGCTCTCGATATAGCCCCTGGAGACTGGGAAACGTTGGCTATAGATTCTCAAGACTGACGAGAGGAGCCTACCACGTGCACGGGTGACCCCATCCGATATATACTCTGCTTCATCTTTGGTCGAGAGAGTCAGTGACTCTAAGCCGCAGCAGATTAGTGAGCTTTTTTCAAACTGGGCACCCATGGCATACGAAACTATGTCGAAGCTTGGGGGATACGGCTGGGAAGAACTCTTAGAGCCCGAAATTGAATTCGAGGAGCCAAAGCGCAGAAAGTCCAAATCCCAGATGGCCGAATCTGACTTGGTGGTGCCACAGTAAGGTTCCTGCTGAATGTGCGATACGAGGTCCGTGGAACGTATCGAATGCTCCAAGACAGAGCGAGCGGCCCAGGCAACTTCAGGGCTCTCCCCTTCTGGACCCCCTCTTTGGCCTCGAGGTTCGCGAAAACCATGGACCTGGTCCGATCTCTCGGACGCGGTTGGACCCTCAACATGGTCTTCAAGACTCTGCCTTTCATTACTATAGGCCTACTTGGAGGACCATTGGGTTGGCCTCCAGGTCTCAAGCGAGCTGATACCTGATTTGAGTCAGCGGTGCTGTGCCTGCGAATGAGGTATCTGTGTGTCACTTCCAATACTGGCAGTTTTACCCAAATCTGCTCCCTGTAACGTGCCTTTCACACATCTTTCTTTCAATGCAAACCGCTGCCCAACGCTGTCTGATGGCTGTTCTCGTCCATCATGTTGCGTATGGACGTGTGTCGGGTCTCGTATGTTCTCCTTTGCTGACGTGTGCTTTTGGCCTATGCTCGTTATTGCTGGCATCGATGCTCGCTTGATGGCTTGGTATTAACACAAGAGGTTTGAGTGAAGGGGTAATTGGGTGCTGTGTCAAGAAATGGAAGCTCTAGCTCGAGAACATGGACTCGCCCATCAGTAATCGGACACAGTCAATCTACAGCCTCATGGGTCAGTGGTGACCGACATCTTTTCGGAATCACTTGCAGAAATTAGGCGCAGCAGGCTTGCCGTTCCTGCATCCTGGGTCAGTGAAATTTGTGCTACGACGACAGTCGCTTCCGACTTTCTGTTAACACGGCCACCGCCGTGGACCTCGACAGCCGATGATAATCCTCACAGCATCTCCGGTCAAGCCTCCATTTACGCCGGGTTCAAAATTTGAATCATCTTGTTCAACCAATCGTGGTCTCACTAGTCGCTTCGCTCATCGGTTAGCGCGACTTGCGTATGCAAGTCTCAAGGAGAGGCAGATCATTTGCTGCAATAATCCGGTGCATGTGCATGTCCTGCCTGTCCTGCCAGCACGACCGTGCAATCGGTGAGCTGCAGATTCTTTGCACTGCGCGATGGAAACCCAACATAATCATTCGTTATTATGGTCCTGGCAGCAACGAGCCGACCCTCTCGCAAACAAGATTCTCATCCACCTACCAGGTTTGGGAATCAACCACCGAGGTACAGTGTGATGGATGATATGCGCCCGTCAGATTCGGCTCCGTTGCGCTTAGAAAGACAACGGCATGGCAACTGCACGTTGGTTGGCTTTACTTGCGTTGACTTGATCACTACATTATTCATTGGACAAATGAACTAACTATGCATTGGTTTCGTTCTGTGTGTCCCGGAATGGCAGTACATTGAGGAGCTTGACTGGACAATGTTTTAATGGGAGATTGCAGCCTACCGTGACATTAACATCTATTTTCAAGGGGTTCATAGGCTCGTGAGTGAATGCGATCCTCCCCAGTGCCAGCGCTACAGAAGGGTCTGTGCGACCCGTGATGCGAGGGGTATGACCAACGCCAATAACTCCGTGCTGAAATGACTGAAATGCATTCAGAACCTTCCCCGCAGCAGCATAACAGTGATGGTATGCCCTCGCGTCCATACTCCTGCATCTACAAGATGATGCAACAGGAAGGATAGCGCATTCTTGGCCCTTCAATGTTGTATCCCTCCTCTAAGTCGAAGTCCAGCAAAGAGTCCGGTGCGAAACGTACTTTGCGGCTGTAGGCGATGTCGCCTTTCGCGTCAAGAGCAAGTTTGGAAGGCTCTTTGGGTCGTGCAGAGACTTGGAATGAGGACCCGGGATCTCGGAAATATACCTCGGGACGAAGGTCGATGTCCTCTATGGTAGCTACAAGACTCGTCAGTAACGAGTAACAACACAACAAATTCGCAGGGCTCACTGTTTGCCTTCTGAACCTTGTCGTTGATAAATCGCGCTTCCATATCATTCTCCGGGTTGTGGAAGCTGGCAGCTTCCCTGCCAATGCATAAGTCGTCGAACTGACCTCCCATGGCTTCGACCTTGTCAAGGTCTACAGCTGCGGTCGTGTTTTTCTTCGATCCGTTGCCTTCCGTGGAAGACTCGGAAGATTCCGAATGGACAGAGTTTGACCCGTACACTGCTCTGTCAGAGTCTATGGGCGACTCCGTGCACTTCCGGTCAGGTTCGTCCAACATCTCCGACGGCGACGATGTGGGGTCTGTCTCTTCTTCGGGAAAACAGGAAGAGGTATGCACGTTGCTTGAAATGCCGGTCTGCTTCGACTCGCTCGACACCGTTGTTGCTGTTGTCGAAGATCTCACTTTACGATCCTCGGCCACCATCTCTTTTTTCCCTTCCTCCGTGGTCCATTCCTCCGATGTAGTCTTGTCTCCAGTAGGGACTGCGTCAATGTTGGGACGTGTCGTCCAATGAGCATTGCTGGGCCTCATCGCTTGGTTTTCTGGTGTAGTGTCTTCTAACATCTTCTGCGTTTCGCGACCTTTGTGGTCCCTCTACGTAATTCTGCTTTGGGTATTGAGAGTTCTGGTAAGCCGACCACGCCAGTGGCAATCAGATGTGGGGAGTTTTGTGGAATGGTTGTATCTTATTTCGCTGAGGGGCTTGCTCGCTTGTTCGTAGAGGGGAAACTTGAAGTGACGCGGTTTGTGGTTTGTGGAAAGACTCCTTGGGTCACTTGCAGCAATGTAGGCACATGGTATCAAGTCGGAAAGAATCTTGTAAGTGCGTTCTGGGGCAAGGAGGTTTGAGGCCGAGCAACAACGAGCTGCGGATCTGAAGAGCGATGCAAGAGACGGGAGAAAGGGTGGAGGAGGGAGATTGTGAAGCAGAAGGAGAACAGGAAAGGCGAATTCATGTGCACCAAGCGCAGAAAATGCAGGCAGGGAAGCTCCAACGATCTGACCGCCTCAAGGATGAACGACTCTTTCCTGGCGGAAACTTTTGTTAACCCTCGAAGACCCGGGCTAACGCTTTGAGTTGACCTCACTTGTAGCATTCGAGAGGTACAAGCCCCGCCTGCCGTGGGGTCCTTTGGATATGGAGGGTTGGGATGGACGCCCATTGGCTCATCATCCTGGCATCTGCAGCAAGCACGGCCAAAGGCTTGGCCAAATCGTGAACGCTTTTCATCTCATGTTCTCGTTGGGGAGAACGAACGACAATGGGGTCGAAGTGAATCATGTGCTCGGTAGAGGTGAATTGATGCCCAACGAAAAGGAACGGAGCTTCAAGGGTCAGAAGGGTGTTGGCCGAGAGCATGCGGGCTGGCAGCCAACGGTAGCCAGCGGTGACTCGGCCAATGAGATTTCTGCAATGCATGCAATGCATGCGGCGCAGCGAAGCGGTGATGGAATCATGCGAGGAGGCATGAGGGGAGGGCGCAAGCAAGATGGCTTTATACCTGAGTCGCCTTCTGGAAAGCCGGCAACGGTCATGCTCATCATCACCTGCGGATTTCAAGCTGTTCCACCAATGGAGGAGCATAGCGGGCAGCAAGGATCAGGGAGCCTTTCGTTCGGAGTCTGCTCATGTGCTCGAGGAGGAAGGGTGGCAAAATGCGCAGCCAATTCGTGACTCGTGCCCGGCATGAGTGGAATCCCTTGAAGCAGAATTCTTGATAGAGGCGACCAATGAAAGCAGAGCTTTTGAAACATCGGCATTACCTGATCAAGTCGAAGCCAGTCACACGAAGATGTGGCAGTAGCGAGGCTTGCGACATCGGTCTCAACTACTAGATGTAATAATCTGAGACAAATCCGGTCATTGACCGCTCATGCAGGCACTAGATCCATCGAACTACTGCCCTTGAACATTGCAGGAACTCCGATAGGACATGTAACAGAATATTGAATGTCCATACCGCCTGACCAAACCCGCTTACTTCATGCCTTTCCCTTTCGCCTCACCATCGCCCAACTCCCTAATGAAAATACCCACCATTCCCTCCCCAACACCTTCACGCCCGTCCTCAAAACCAGGACTGACAGCCACAGCCAAGAACTTCCCGTTCCCGCTAAAACTCAATGCACTCACACTAGTCGTGTACCGCTGGTACTGCCTGATCCTCCTCTTGGCAACGCCATCCCAAAGCGCGACGAAGCCATCTCCACCGCCTGAAGCGAAGGTGCCATGCACAGGATGAAAAGCCAACGCATTGACAGGGTAGACCACATCTACCCCTTCAGGCGAGGGTTGACGATGGCACTTGAACGCATATTTCCGAGATTGAGAAGTGGTTGACGGGTCGAACCATTCAACAGCCACACGGCCTTCGATGCTGGAAGATGCATACCCTTCGTCGTTAGGCATGCAAGCCACTGCTCTCGTCATGAACTTCAGAGAAGATTCGCGCCGCTGCCAAGGTTCGATGCCTGAGGCCGCAGATTCAGAGGCCAGATCCGCGAGTTGGTAGATGTGCAAGGCTCTGGAAGCCATTGCTACGACAAGCCTAGTGGATGTGAGGGAAAGAGAGAATGGCTTATTGGGTAGAGATATCTTGACGGGTGGATCAGAAGGTTTGGAGAGGTGGTGAACGTGTAATGTCGAGTCCCAAGAGCCTGAGACAAGGATATTGTGCTGTCGATCGTAGAGAACGGACTTGACGCCTGCGCCGTGGGAGGAGAGAACCGTTTGGGCACCTGTAGTGAGGTTGATACTGTAATTCGCGTAAGCCGTAGATTCGTCTGGAAAAAAGCAGCAGTATATATAGCCGACCATCGGACATCCCAATCCAAGCCTGCGGTATATGCCTCCTCTTCATCTTCCCCAAAACAGACGTCTAGAACCGGCGCTCGATGCTCAAACTTGTTGAGCAGCTGGCCGCCAGTACTCGAGGTGTCGTAAAGGTAGACATGCTTGTCCCAGGACGCTACGAGGAGCCGCAGGGAAGTGGGCGCGAATTGTATGGCGGAGATGGCGTCGGTTGGGGGGTTCGCGAGCTCGAATTGTGCTGTAAAGTGTCAGTATGGGTATCCAGAGCATAGCAGACATCTAACACTTACGTATAGACATTTCAATGAGGTGTCAGGGAAGTATTAATTTGTGTACAAAACTGTGTCAAGGATAGGGAGCTATGCGGGGAGGAATTTCTTCAGGTCGTCTTTTCTGCGCCAAGAGATTTGCTCCTCCAACTCTACAATATACCCTACGTCTGGATTGTGTGGAGAAATCGGATACAAGGCAGTGATAATCGCAAGACTCAGTCTGTTAATATTCTGGAATACAAAACTGTAGAGCTCACTGGGTGGGCACGAGTGCCGCCCTACCTGAGAGCGACATCACTGGCTTTCACTGCCACCAGCTTCTTTTCTATCCTTGCACTACAGCCAGGTCGCTGCAAGCTCCTCCTCTGCAAAAAGGCCTTTCTTCGCTTTCTCTCGCTTTCTACACCTTCTTAATGCCTCCCCCTTTCTCAAGTCTCGTGCCTAGTTGCCTCGTCTTCACACGTCTCTCTTCCCCATCCATCTCTCCATCCAAACCTCAACCATTTTTCCCAAGAGCCCACTCTCAATCACCTTTGGCGCGTTCCTGAGCGCTGGACTCGCTTTCTCAGCCTCACCAATCTCAAATACGACCTCCGAGTTCGCATTGTTTTCTGCAAAATTCTCAGCGAAGAAATCTACAAGCTTGATCGCTGGGTTGCGGTTTGGATCGGCTGCTTCGCTTGTTTTACCACCAGTGGAGGAGTGAGTATCAGCGGACAAGCTGCGAAGTCGGTCAAGCCAATCTTTGAACGTAACATTTTCGAACGCCGACAAATCCGTTGCGTGGAGGGCGGAGCACAGGTCGGGCGTCCACGAGAAGGTATGGGGAGAGCGGAGGTTGTAAAATAGCTGCCCTTCCCTCCCACTGACTGCAGCTGCCGCTCCGCTCGTCTGTCCATCCCTCAACATAACGACCTCAAGCACAGCCTCCGCCAGCGTATCGACAGGCAACCATTGACATGGCGTGTCCATTTCCGGCAATACGCCCATGGTGACTGCGCTTCTGATAATCAACGGAAAGGCTTCGGTATCATTCCACACTCCTGCTTTCGTATCGCCAACAACCTGTCCAATCCTCAGAACCGTCGCCCTCGCACCATGGTTCTCAACGGCAGCTTGAACGATTTGCTCGCCGACGAGTTTTGAAGCCGCATACCCCGTCTGCGAGACCTGCTCTAGGGACTTGATTGGCGCTTCAGGAATACGTGTGGGACCAGGTGTGCCGAGTGCAACGGAGATGGAGCTGCAGAAGATGAGTCTTGCAGGCATGGGGAGGGTGCCGGAGAGAGACAATTGGATCAAGTTTTGCAAGCCGTGGAGAGAAGGAATGAAGGAGGGAAGGCCGAGTTGGAAGTTTACGGGCCAGGCGCAATGGATGATGTGGGTTGTTGATGACTTGAGAGTTGTGTAGTCCGCAGGGCTGAGGCCGAGGTGCGGATCGCTGAGATCGGAGGCGAGGATTCGAAGCTTGGGCGAGCTGAGAGGTGGAAGTCGTTTATCTTGAAAGGATTTCTGGAGTCGTGGGAGAGGATCCGCGCCACGGATCAGGCAGTAAATTTGTGAGATGGTCGGTTGATTGAGAAGGAGGGTGAGGATGTGTGCACCTACGCCGCCTGTCGCGCCGGTAAGGATCTGATCCGTGGTAAGCCTCTGATACTTAGCCTGGGGAAGTTCTACGACTTACAATAGTATGCGTTTTGCAAGTCTCGTTGGCGCCTGGTATATGTTTCTCAAACGCCGAGAACTTTGAGATAAGATCCTTCATCACAGCGATCGGCTTCTCCTTTACGACGCTCTGGGATGAGCGTACATCTTCGAGATGTTTGGCAAGATTGGCAATGTTGCCGTTCTCGAAAACGAGGTTCTGGCTCAGTTTCCTACCATTGCCGCCGAGGTACAGGTCGCGGAGAATAAATCCTCGCATCTGTATGGCTTGCAGACTGTTCATGCCCAGCGTGAAGAGGTCGTCTTTAGGATCGGAAAGTTGTGGGCCAAGAATTTGCTGGCCCAAACTCAACAGGTGTGTTTCGAGCTCAGCACCATCCATGATAATTGTACCCTCCTGACACGCGTACGCCTCTTCTATCTCTTTTGCAAACACGTTGTACACCTGAGCGCGAATAATACTTCCTTTATCCGTCAAGGGAATGGACACGCCAGCAGGCATAGGCACTATCATGTCCACTCCTATTTGTGAAAACCCTTCAGCAACGCAATTCGCAGCATCAACAATAGGCCAGACAGTTTCGATAAAGTCTTTGTCCCCAAGGTCCTTAGCGGTTTGCGACCTGAAAACCAGCAGTCCAGGGATGACTCGTCCAATCCCGAACACCACAGCCTCCCTCACCAATTTATGTTGGCGGATGCTACCTTCAATAGGCAGCGGTAAAACCTTTTCACCGTTCATTAAAGTGACTCTGTCGTCTATTCTCCCCAAAAATTTCCAGGCCCCGGGAATGGTTTTGTGGGGGGTGAAGATGTCCCGAGAATGGAAAGAGTTGGGCGGATCATCTGAATTGCTTATGTTACGTCCAGGGTGGTTTTTGAGGAACACGAACTCAAATGTGTCTGCCGCGATAGGTTTGGGATAGATATCCTTCATCAGTGCTGGCGGCGGACGAAGGTAATTCCATGCTTTGTCGTCGGCGGGCCGACCTATGGAGGTGCCGAGAAATCCACATTCGGAACTGTGCTTTAGTGAGTCTTTCTTCTAGTGTTTGATGATCATGTGATAGCGCAAGGAGCAGGGATCCTCAGACTGAATGATACTGGTGGACTCACGATCCCATAAGAGTTGCGAGATTTACCCCTTTCTCCACCAATTGGTCACCCAAATCATCGGGACATTGGCTGCCTGTGAACACTACCTGATCAATTTGTTTTAGGGCGTCAATGCCACTCTTTTGCTCCGCAAGCAGCTTTAGGACATATGGGACTGCGCATAGAGTGCCCGGTCTTGCTTCTCGTATGGCTGCTGTCAGACCTTCGCATGTCAGGGGCAAATGCGGGTTCAGAAAGAAGACCGTTTTTCGCTGATACATTCTCGCTGGGCAGACGTATAGTGCAAAGCTGTGATATCTTTGAAACATACGTCAACCCAATTCTAAGGATTGAGGGATAAGGGACCTACAAGGGTAATGTCACGAAATCGCGATCTCCAGGTCCAATAGCATACGCCATTGTGTATCTCTCATGCACGACTTCAATCGGCTTTGGCAGACCCGTAGAGCCCGAAGAGTGCGAAATAGTAGCTGGTCGTCTTCTCTCCTCGGCCACGTCAATGTCTCTCTCAAAAGGAGGCGCGGGACCCTTAGGCGTGTCATAATCGTGGCGAGAAAGAATGGGTAGAGTCTGTAGGGACATTAAAGACACTACTTCGATCATGACCGCTAAAAGCTTTGGTGATTCATGGTAGATTAGGCATTCACAATGCGTTTCCTGCATCAGCTTCACGATCGCTGGCGCGGATAGTCTTGGAGATAAAGTTAGGACGGTGTAACCTGCTCGCGAAAGGCCAAAGAAGGAGACCACCCATTCTAGATTCGTGGGACCGAGGAGAGCTACTCTGCTCAAACCCGTTGGCTGGTGAGACCGATCAGTATTCTGCTATATAGGTACTGGCATTTGTTGGGCCAGTCTTCATCGTTTTGACGCACCGTTTGTATATTCGCCTTGGCGTAATGCCAAGCAGCTGTATCAGTAAACTGGTCGAGGACTTTCCCTGTGAAGTATTCGTAGTCTGCAAAACCCGACTTCGGGAATGCCATCAGAGGTCTTTGGATAGGGTCCGCTGCTCGGTGCCGAAAGACCTCGTGTAGAAGCTGGAATCTAGAGAGGTCAATCTCTGGATTCTCTGCATCATTGTTGGACATTTTGAACGACAGTGGTTAATGTCGTCGCTTTCACTGTGGCAGGAGTGGGGGCATATGGGATCTAGCAAACTGTTCAAAACAGCTTGTTCACATTCAGAAAGAGATGTGTTACCCCTTGTTACGACTTTGTAGTGGGCTATTAGGGTGGTACGGAAGTGAAGCTGAGGAGACACGCGAATGCACGGTCGTCGGCTCTAAGCTAACTCCGCGTTGGTGTCGGAGACCAAGGATTCCGATGCTTGTGCCCTTCACCGTAAGCATAATGGAAATGGTACTCCTGGACTGGTACGCCCAGACAGCATGCCATTGTACTCGCGGACCTGTCTGATCAGCGCCCCTTCAGAATGTCGACCGGCGGCGCTGGTGGGGGTATGATCGAAACAGTATATCAACCTTGCAAATGCCACGAACAGCTACGTCAATAACAGTAACCGTAACGTTATACTACCCAACAATGCAAGTCCTTCTTCCTTATCCAAGAACCACGGTCCTTGGGTGATACTAGCGCTCTTACCGTCCATCCATATCTCAGCCCAGATGGCATTCAGGCTCTCGAGGTCGCGGTCAGCTGAGAAGGAGTTCCTGGAGCAGTGGATGCGTGGGTAGAAAGCAGTTGCCCTAGAAGTCTAGATGCTATATCAAGCGGTACTAGCTGTGTAGAGGGCCAAGGCATTTACAAAGAGGAAGGGTATTCTGGCTACTACGATATGTCGTCAATATGTCGTGAGGGATACGGATGCATGTGCGATTAAATTTCTGTCGTGCAGATCTCCAGAGTCCAGGGTCCAATTTTAGCGTATGCAAAATCCATTGCGCTGCTTGGTCCTGGAGACTTTTCGCCCATCATACTCAATTTTGTACTCTAGCCTTCCAATCAATATAGCTGTTACTGTCAGAATAAGTCTTCTTTGATAACAATCAAGCTCTACTGAAGTCTTGGCAGGTTCCGTGGCCTCTTTATTCGTCATGCCCTTTCCCATTCATACTGCTGTCTACAGGAAGGGTGTGATGAAACTTCGGCCGGGAAATAGAGTATAATGTTCCTAACCACCACCATTCAAAAGAAGTCTAAGAACTGAGTCTATACCCGCTGCGCCGCGCTGCGCCGAGGTCTTTATAAGCTACCTTGCCTGTGGTGGTGCCTGCACCAGTCAGTGCAGTGTTAGCTTGTACTCGGCGGCGTCTAGCTGCGTAGCTAACGATAATGCGCCTAACGCGCCGCAGGGCAGATTCATCGACAGCGGTCTACCTATGTAGCTCCAGCCGTCTATCCTTCACATCTCACTGCAGTCAGCTGACACGTTGTTTTCAGAGATGCGGCACAGATGTCGTGTCTCTGTCTGGAGCACTTGTACAGCTCGAAAAGGGCATTGGCTGGGAAAGTAACAATGTCTCATGGCTCTTATGTTCCCGGTCCAGAAGGCAAGGCGTGCGAGCACTGAAGGTAGGTCGAGTCTACCATTTGGACTACCTGTTCGTGGCTTTCTCTCTTCGGCCTCTGAAACAAAGCTACCCGACGTCTAGAGGCATGGATCAAGAAATTCATGTCATTTAAAAAAGCAGTAGCATGGGGGCGGAGAAAAACGAACAAATTGCGTTCACTAGATTGTTTCATTTCTTCGTTTGGTTTCCCAATGCGGCACAAGCGGCAGGTATCTTGGGATATCTTGAATTCTACAGTATTTTGGCAGGAGAAAGCTTGGTGAGACATGCAATAGAGGAGAAAGAGAAAAAAGGCACAGCAGTTGCCCATGCACATAAAAGAAGGCGAGTCCCTCTTTTTCTACATCCAATATCGGCAGACACAATCGTCCCCATTCTTCAACTCCCTTTGACCGCCTGAAACACACTTACAGCACCAGCCCCTCTGGGAACACTTGAGTACTCCGCCATGATGTTGATCAAGACACTTCCGTCCCTAAACCTCATGGGGGTTTGCCTTGCACCCCTAGCACTCGCCTACCCGTCAGCTGAGGGAAGCTCTGACTCTAACCTGCTCTTTAAGCGAGCGGGCACCACCGCACAATTAGGCGACTATACTGGCAGCACGAGCTCCTACCCCGACGGCTCCGGAACATATGTAGACTCGAAAGACCAAGGTACCTACGCCAGCGGAGTCAAATGCTGGACCGACATCGTAAGACCTCACCTCATCCCGTTCTCATTTTCTTTAAAAAAGCCATAAGGAAATATAGCAGCACTGACCCTGCATAGTTCTACGTCACCAACGAATACCAAGCCCAAGCCTGGACACCCATGAAAGAAAACACAATCGACTGCGCCCGCACCAGCACATGCGCCTCCAACTCCCAGGACGCCGTCCAAAATTGCGGCTCATGGAGCATCACCTGGGGCAACGAAATCGAAGTCGATATTATCGAAAAAATCGGCCTCGAACTCCAAGAAAATATCGACAATACCTGGCTCAAGAGCAAGTGCGTCACCGCTACTGTGCTTAATACTTGCACTTGGGATGACAAGTTGTGCCATGCGCTTTGGACTAGTAGTGTTGGGCAAGTTTTTGATGGCTACATTCGCAGGAGGTGTAGCGGGGGGCGGAGTGGGATCACGAGTCAGCCGGATTATACGGCGTGGAGTAAGGATTATAGCTGGACGCAGCCGAGTCCGCAGACGAGGCTAGGGTGTGGGGCGTTGTGTGATGAGACTACTTATCCGGAACCGGTTCCCTCTGTAGGGTCGACATAGTCAGGATGTGGACGAGGCTGACGCGGAACTCGGTAAGTGGTTACGGGCATATAGGGCTTTGACTGATGAGGGAAGGCTCTCGACTGGACAAGTCTTTGTGGATTGTGAGGACGCTGTAATAATACTTCTTTCTGTGTTAGATCTTGACGATTGAGGAATAGCGGACTGCGTTGAGGTATGACTCCAAGAAACTTAGCTTTTGTGCTTTCAACCTAGTCCTTAACGCACATGAAGGCGTGATCCTATTTATTTTCCAGCCCTCTTTGTCGAGGTGGAGTAATGACGAGGCGCTTGTTGGGAGGCTGTGGGGGGAAGCGAGCGGAACAGAGGTCATCGAAAGAAGTACAACTTCGACTGACTTACACGCTTGCTCGTCTATCCCTTTGTCATTAGACGGATTAATGGCTCTCCAGCGCAAGGGCCGGCTTCTACGGACAAGAAATTGCCCTGCTATCGCCACCGCCGCCAGCTTTTTCCTCAGCGGAAGCGACGTCGCAGCCTTGCGGGCAGTCGTTATCCAGTACCCTCGGCTCGCCTATAGACCGTCAGCCTCGAGAGCAGGTCATCGATACTTGACTCGGCCTTGCCACAGCAAAGACTCCGGGAAGGTCATGTTCATTGCCATGCCTTGGATCTTTGCTGTGATCCGATGCGGGCTTTCTACACACACAAGCCGAAAAGATCGAGGCCTTAATGTCAGTTCCATAATATTTGCGCTGCACCGTCGGTCCTGAGAGCTTTGGGTCCCATTGCACGAGGTAGATTGGCTCTTGAATCACACCACTGAACCCGGAGGAACTGCCCTTGACCCTTGGGAGTGTTTACTTGCTCAGCACTGCTCAGCACACAGTCCCGAATGAAAGAATGTGTCCTACAGCGATCGCCTTTGGGGCTGAGACAGATATCCATCCACTCATGAAATTACCAGACAGAAATGGCCGGACAAAGTCAAGGAACTGAAGAAGGCGAACGCAATTAGTACCCTATGAACTGGCGCCTTTCGCATATAATGTCTTGGCATTACGAGTCGGGCTGACCCCCTGAATTTTCTAAGCGCTTCGCAATTTGCTAAGGTCCTGCTAGGCGTCCTTCTCCCTAGAGGCCGACGGTTTAAGCGAGGACCGTCGGTAAGCGAACTTGATTTAGTTAGCGTATTTAGCGTATAACTCTAAATAAAAACTTACTTATATTATAACTCTTACTTATTTCTTTATTCTTTTACGAGTAAAGGCCTATGAATTAAATTTATAATCATTCTTTTTAATTAGGGCTATCGAGTAAATAGGTGAGTAATCTTTAATAAGCGAACTTTAATAAGCGATATTTGAATTCCTTACGCTTAAATAATTATAAGACTAAATTTAAGAAAAAAGAAAAAAATTCTAAAAGTATATATTTCGTTCTATAATTTAAAAAAAATTCTAAAATTTTAATAGAAAATTAAAAAGTTATTCTAAAATTAAATAATATATATTTATTTTTTAATTAGAGCTATTCGGCTGTCGAGCGAACTTTAATAAGCGATACTTAAATTTCTTATACTTTAATTAATTATAAGACTAAATTTTAAAATTTTTAAAAATTCGAAAAGTATAAATAGCGTTTTAAAAATTAAAAAAAAATCTTAAAATTTTAATAGAAAATAAAAAAGTAATTCTATATATTAATAATATATATCTATTTTTTTAATAAGAAAGATATAGAAGAGCGAGATTTTAATAATTATAAACGCTAATTTATTTATTCGCGATAACTTAGTCGATTTAATTAAAGAGCGTAGTAAACTCGAATTAATAATTAATTATATATATAAATTTAAGATTTTCAAGCTTAGCTCTATCTTATTCTTTTATATATTAGTATATATAAAAGAATAAGGTAGGGCTGAGCTTGAAAACCTTGAATTTGTATGTGCAGCCAATCATCAATTCGGGTTCGCTACGCTCTTTGGTTAGACCGGCTGAGTCATCGCGGGTAAATAAATTAGCGTCCGCAACCATCAAAATCTCGCCCTCCCACGCCTCCCCACCTCCCTCATCAAAAAAATAGGTGTACGTTATTAACACATAGAATAACTTTTTTGTTTTCTATTAAAATTTTGAGATTTTTTTTTTAAATTTTGAAGCGCTGTTTGTGCTTTTCGAATTTTTAAGAATTTTGAAATTTAGTCTTATAATTATTAAAGCGCAAGGAATTCAAATATCGCCCACCAAAGTTCGCTCGACAGCCGGACAGCCCTAATTAAAAAACAGATACACATTATTTAATTTTAGAATAACTTTTTGATTTTCTATTAAAATTTTGAGATTTCTTTTTTAAATTATAGAACGAAATATTTGCTTTTAGACTTTTTTTCTTTCTTAAATTTAGTGTTATAATTATTGAAGCGTAAGGAATTCAAATGTCGCTTATTAAAGATCGCTCACCTATTTACTCGATAGCCCTAATCAAAAAAAATGATTATGAATTTAATTCATAGGCCTTTACTCGTATTAATATATTCTCTTTATTTCTAACTTCGATATTTATTAAAATTAATATACTTTTTAATAAAATAAGTTTTAAATAGAATTAAATATAGTTTAATATTTATAAATACTTATATAAATATTTATATAAACTTTTTAATTTCTATATATATATTTATTAACTTATTTTTTTATAATAGTTAAAGTAAAAGAGATTAAATTTAATAATTTATTTTTTAAAAAATTAAAAATTTTTAATAATAATAATATTAAAAAGTTTTAATATAAATTAATTAAATAATAATTAAGTTCTTAATTAAAATAAAAAAAGAAAAATTAAAAATTAATTAAAATAAAATTATTAAGAGATTATAATAGTAAATAGATATATTTATATTTAAGAAAAATTAATTATAAAAATAAATAAAATTAATAAAATTAATATCTTAATATCTTAATTATATTATAATTAATAAAAAGTATATAATTAAATATATTAATATATCGTTATTATAATTAAAATAAGCTTTTAAGTAAATTAAATATAATATAATAAATAAATAATAAATAACTTTTAATTCTAATTCTAATTCTAATAAATTTATATTTTAATAATATTATATAAAAAAAGCATACGAGCGTAGTTATAAGAAAATTAAAAAATTTATATATTATATATATATATAAAGATAAAAGCTCGAATTAAAAGAATATAAATAATATTAAAATTAAATAAAATATAAATATTAAAAATAATCTTACTATATACGTTAATAATTAAATAGATTTTATCTTCTAAATTATTTAAGAGTATAATATAAAACTTAATAAGAAATTTAAATATAATTTAAATATAACGATATTAACGCGCTAGCTAATAAACTTTAAATTATTATAAAAATTTTAAAATATTAAATATAATTATATCTAAAAGATGAAATTATAGATTTTTATTTATATATAATTAATTTAATATATAGTAATAAAAAGCTTATTATAAAAGTTACGCTATTTAAATTAATATTTTAATTTTAAATACTACTCTCGTTATTACTTTTAAATATCGCGTACTTAATTAATACGCTAGATCTCTCGATCGTAGAAATATTAAAATCTTAATATAATCTATCTATAACTTAAATAACTTTTTATCTTTCTATTACTTTCTAAGTTTTTTTTTTAATTATATAAACTTTTATATACTATTTAGAGAACTAAGAATTTTAAATTAAATCTTATAAATATTAATAAATATTAAGTTAAAACTTTTTACTCTTAAGAAATTAATTATTCTCTTTTAATACTATATACTTTAATAAGAAAACTTTATTATATAGTAGTAAATTTAATAGTTTAATAGAATCGTAAAATCTATAGAAATAGTAGTATTATCTAGATTCGATCTCGGGCTACATTTTAAAAAATAAAAAGACGAAATTTAAAAATAAGAAATTAAAGAAAAATGTTCGACTATTAATAATTACTTAAAAATCGAAAGATAAGAAAAAATTAGGTTTTTATTTTTTTTATTACTCGTATTATAAATTAAATTTTTAGATTTATTCTTATTATATATATTAATATAAGAGTATATAAAAGTAGAAAGAAGTTAGTTAATATTTTAATAATTACTCATTTTATTAATATTTTAAAATCTATCGATAATAAAGATTATAAATATAAAATAAATATAAATTCTCTAGAATTTACTTATATTAAATTATTATATTACTTTAATTTTTAATATTAAAAAATTTATTTAAAGATCTTAAGAAATAAATCTATATTAGAAGATAATATAATTATAATTTTAAAAGTATTCGATCGTAGATAATTAATTTATCTATTGCGAGAGAAAGTCGAATTATTTTAATAAATCTATTATCTTAATCTAAGCGATTATCGAATAAATCGACGAGAGATTATATTTTTAAATAACGATTAGATATAATTATTTCTAGTTATATTATTCTTTTAATTTCTTTAATATATTTATTTCTTTTTAACTTTTATAATAAATCTTATCTTTTTAAAAGAGATTAATTATAGTAATTTTTTTTCTTAAGTCTTAACGATAAGATTTAAAAAGATATCGTATCTTTTTTTATTAATATATATAAAAGAATAAGATAGAGCTAATTTAAAAAATCTTAAGTTTATATATATAGTTGATTATAAATTTAAATTTATTACGCTCTTTAATTAAATTATTTAAGTTAGTTCGTAAACTCTTTTAAGATCTCTTATTAAATAAATAGATACACATTTTTACATATATAATAACTTTTTTATTTTTTATTTAAATTTAAATTTTTTTTTCGTATTATAGAACGTAACTTAGACTAATGAAAAAAAAAAAAATTCAAATTTAGTCTTATAATTATTAAAGCGTAAGAAATTTAAATATTATTTATTAAAGTTCGCTCGATAGCTCTATTTAAAAAATAGATATATATTATTTAATTTTAGAATATCTTTTTTATTTTCTATTAAAATTAATTTTTTTTTTCAAATTATAAAGCGAGATTTACGCTTTTTATTATCGAAAAAATTATAAAATTTAATCTTATAAATATTTAAAAGTAAGAAATTTAAATATTATCTATTAAAAGTTCGCTTATTAAATTTACTCGATAGTCGATAGCTCGTAACTTTAATTAAAAAATAGATATATATTATTTAATTTCAAAATAACTTTTTTATTTTCTATTATTTTTTAATTTTTTTAATTATAGAATATAATATAGACTTTTAAAGAAAAAAAGAATTATTAAATTTAATCTTATAAATATTTTAAGATAAAGAATTTAAATATCGCTTATTAAAAACTTATCTACTCTATTAAGAATATTCTTTAATATAAGCTTAGATAGTCGAGTAGTAATAATTTTAATAAAATTCGAAACTATTTCGCTTCGTTCTCGATTCGAATCTATAAATCTCTCTCGCTAAAAAATCGTAAAATCGTAAAATCGTAAAAATTATAAAAATAATTAAAATTCTATAAATAGCAATAATAATAATTAAAATTCTATAAATAATAATAATAATAATTAATATAATTAAATTATAATAGATATTAAGATTAACTTCTTATTAGTTAAATTTAAATTAATTTAAAGTTAATTAACTCTCTAAGAGACTTATTACTAATATAACTTCTCTTTTTCTATCAAAGTTTTAATTTAATTTTAATTATTTATAGAACTTGTTTAACGCTTTTTAATAATCTAAATTTATAAAATTCGATCTTATAGTTCTAAGTAAATCTTAAATTAAAGTATTTTCACTCTTCGAGAGTCGAATTCAATCTCGAAATTAGATTTAAAAATTAATTACTTTTTATAAATATAATTTATAGATTTAAACTTATTTAATTAATATATATAAAAGAATAAGATAGAGTTAAGCTATAAAATCTTAAATTTATATATATAGTTAATTATTAATTCGAGTTTACTACACTCTTTAATTAGATCGATTAATTTATTATAAATAAATAAATTAATATCCGTAATTATCAAAATCTCGCTCTCTTACGCCTCTCTTATTAAAAAAATAAATATATATTATTAATATATAGAATTACTTTTTTATTTTCTATTAAAATTTTAATTTTTTTTTTAAAATTTTAAAACGCTATTTATACTTTTCGAATTTTTAAAAATCTTAAAATTTAGTCTTATAATTAATTAAAGCGTAAGAAATTTAAATATCGTCTATTAAAGTTCGCTCGACAGCCGAATAACCCTAATTAAAAAATAAATATATATTATTTAATTTTAGAATAACTTTTTGATTTTCTATTAAAATTTTAGAATTTTTTTTCTTTTCTTAAATTTAGTCTTATAATTATTTAAGCGTAAGAAATTCAAATATCGCTTATTAAAGTTCGCTTACTAAAGATCGCTTATCTATTTACTCGATAGCCTTAATCAAAAAAAATTATAAATTTAATTTATAGACCTTTACTCGTTAATATATAGAATAATTATATATTAATATCTTTTAATCTACGTTTTAAATATTAAAAACGAGATTTTAATAAAATTTAAATTAGTTAAATATAAAGATAAATAATAATAAAATTTTACTATTATAATATTTATTAACGAGTAAAGGCCTATAAATTAAATTTATAACTATTTTTTTTAATTAGAGCTATCGAGTAAATTTAATAAGCGATCGTTAATAAGCGATATTTAAATTTCTTATCTTTAAATATTTATAAGACTAAATTTAGAAATTCTATATTTATTTAAAAGCGTAAACTACGTTCTATAATTTAAAAAAAAATTAAAAACTTTAATAAAATTTAAAAAAGCTATTCTAGAATTTAATAATATGTATCTATTTTTTGATTAAGGCTGTTAATAAATTTAGTAAGCGAACTTTAATAAACGATATTTAAGCTTCTTACTTTTTAATAATTATAAGACTAAATCTTAAAATTCTTTTAACGTTAAAAAGCGTAAATTACGCTTTATAAGTAAAAAAAAGTCTTAAAATTTTAATAGAAAATAAAAAAGTTATTTTTATTATAAATAACGTATATCTATTTTTTTTAATAAGAGGTCTTAAGAGAGCTAGCGAGCTAACTTAGTCGATCTAATTAAAGAGCGTAGCGAACTTAAATTTATAATTAACTATATATATATAAATTTAAGATTTTTTAACTTAGCTCTATCTTATTCTTTTATATATATTAATAGACTTAATATTATAATAAATAAACGCGTTATTATAAATAATACTCGAAGCTCTTAGCTATTATAATATAAAAGAGTATTATTTTATATAAAGTCGAGAAGAATTTATTATATAATCGAGTTTTATAAAATAATTTACGAAAGATAATTTTATATAATAAACGTAGATAATAAACTCTATCTCTTTAATCGTTTAAAATTCTTATTTATCTACGATCATATATCTACGATCTTATATCTATTAATACTTAGTTATATCTTTTAATATTTAAAGATATTAATATATAATCTATCGAGATAATTAGATAATTATTACTACGCTTATAAATAGTCGACTCGTTTAAAAAGATTAGTTAATAAAATCGTTAATTGATTATTATAGTAAATTAATTCTCTTATAGAAATATATTACGTTAACGAGTAATTCTTTTTATTATTTTCTAAGATTAATTAAAATAATATATAATACTCTTTAAATAATACTTTAACGATTAAATAAGTTTATTAAAGAATATATATATTAACTCGTTTAAGTATAATATAAAGTATTTATCGAAATATATAAATAATTATATCTTAATCTCTTAATTAATAATTTTAAAGCCTTCGTCGAGATTATTATTTAATATAAAGACGATAATATATTATTTATAATAAGATCTTATTCTCTATAAAATTTACAGATTAATATTATATAAAATAATTAAAATAATATTCTTTTTATAATTTATCTCGAAATCGTCTTAAATAAGCGTATAAATAAATAAAAATAAAAATAAATAAAAATAAAAATAAAAATATAACGACGATAAATTAAAGAACGTAAAGTATTTAAGAGATTTATAAAAAAGCTATAAACTATACTCGACTTTAAATTATAACGATTCTATATCTATTTATTATCTATTTATTATTTATTAATCTATTATTTATATTAATAATTAGCTTATTAAAAATTTACGAGTCGAGATATTATTTTAAGCTATTATTGAGAATTCTATAAAAAGATATATTTTACTTATTTTACGTTCTTTTTATCTATTATAATATCTATATAATAAAAGATTTATTATATAATAATATCAAATAAGATTAAATGGTCTTGTTTGTATGGGAGGAGTTGACGAGGGGTCTAGCCAACACGGGACTAGTAGCCTAGCCCACAGTAGATATCTGGCCTCTGCCTGCCATCCTCCTAGACTAGTTATCCTTCTACCTCGAGACTACAGTCTTTGGTGTCCTCTGTTTCTCTTCTACCTGACTTCATCAGTAAAGCTTAATCTGTGCTTGGCCCACTTGGCAGGTGTCCAGTTCCCAAGCCTTCTAGACCATGGCATCTAGCAGGATTCTCGAACTCTCCTCGATTATTGCCACAAATACAGAGAGAATTGATGGATTCCTTACATCCCATGGGTTTCCATACCCAACGTTCGAGATCGATGCCCCGTTAGAGCTAAATATCCCAGAGCATCTGAAGATTTGCCAGGAGAGTGTCTTAGGTGCAGCAATGGAGCTGACCTCGTTAATGCTCGGTCCAGTTGGTACTCTCATGCAGCTCTGTCAGGTATTCTGATCTTCGTGTTCATACCGACTGGTGGCTTACTGCGATAGTACAACACCCTTAATAGCTTACAAGCCATTGTCCACTTCGATATCGCTTCAAGCGTCCCCAGATCGGGAAGGGCTACCTTTGGACAAATATCGAGCAGTTGCGGTCTGACAGAGTCTGATACGCGCCAACTACTACGCCATGCCATGACGAATTATATTTTCCAGGAACCAGAAAAAGGATATGTTTCGCATACCGCTTCGTCTGTGGCACTCGTCGATGTTCCGATGATGGGAAGATATGTTGAGATGGTTTCCAGTGAATTATGGCCAACAGCAACCACGGTAGGAGCTTTAATCCATTCTTACGGATACACAATGCGGCGTCAATCTACTAACACAATCTAATACTTGAGCTTGTTGATGCGATGGTCAAGTGGCCTAAGTCCGAGGAACCCGTCGAGACTGTAGGCTAAAATTTCGAACTCTTATACATAGGCATTACATCTAACCACGAAGATTCAGGCTTTCAACGTTGCAAATCACACCAATAGGCCTTTCTATGAAGAGATCGCGCGTTTTCCGGACCGTGCTAGTCGTTTCGCAGTAGCGATGGATCTAATCAATGCTAGTGAGAGCATGAAACCGATACATGTGGTGGAAAATTACGACTGGGCTGGCTTGAAGGAGAATGCGGTTGTTATAGACATCGGCGGCTCGCACGGGCAAATAAGCATCGCATTGGCCACGAAGTTTCCTCATCTGCGCTGTATCGTACAGGATATTAAGGGAGTCATTGCCGAAGGCAAAGACATGTTGCCAGAGCACCTTAATGGTCGGGTCATGTTCATGGAGCATGACTTCTTCACGGAACAACCGGTCAAGAATGCTGACATTTATTTCTTTCGATGGGTTTTTCACAACTGGTCGGATAAGTACTGTATCAAGATCCTGCGAAGTCTGATTCCGGCTCTCAAGAAGGGAGCGTCGGTCGTCATCAACGAGTTTTGCATTGCTGACCCGGGAATGATCCCGCTGCACAAGGAAAAAGAGCTCCGGTATGTCGTCATCTCTTCGCTACTGCACTGAAAAACACTGACCCTAAACTTCTCGACAGATCTTACGACCTAGGTATGAAGAGTCTTTTTAATTCCAAGGAGCGTGAGAGCGAAGACTGGGAGAATCTACTCAAAATTGCCGATCGGCGATTCTTGTTTAAAGGAGCTCGGGTACCTGCTGGATCATCGCTAGCCATCATAGAAGCTTGCTGGGATGGAGACGGTCAATGAGTTGTGGTCATGGAAAAAGACGATGCGGTGGCCAACAGTGATGTCGCATAGAGTAGCATTATTAAAGGACTTAGCTACTGCTGCACCGTATACCTCAAAAATCGTATCTATCTCAGAGTGATCTAGCTAGTCCAAAACTGCAGCAGTAGACAGTTGCTTCAGCTCGCCATTGTCGATGTGAAGCTTTTCTCCACTAAGATACCTTTTGAGTCTGTCACTGCTAGGTCTCTGCCTTGAAGCTCGATGTCCTGAGCATACGAGGCACTATTCGCGTCTGGCTGTATCTTATGCCATGCCCCATTGGAAAGGCCTTCACTACTTGAGGATCCCTGATCTGCAGCGTTCAAGCCAGTCTTACTAGACCTAAGTGTAAGAGAGCGAAGACTTCTCATCATCGAGTGAAGAAATCGGCCTTCTTTGGCTAGCGGCCCAAGGCTGGGAAGGCAGGCGGCAATGATTGAGCAACAGGGCTCAACCTCAGCCCAAATCGCTTGACTAACAGTTACGTCTGAACGTATATTACTTTGCTGGTCTTGAAAGTGTACTGCAAGAAGGGAGGGCCATACACGAGTATTCCTTGTTGCTTATCACGCGAACATGCTCAAACTTGTTGAGTAGTACGCAGTAGTGAAGACGAACAGAAGCAGCAATCACGCAGCTGTATCATGGTTAGCGAGAATATTGTTGGCCCAGACAGAGTGGCTATCTTACAAAATACCTAACCAGAAGATACCTGTGATTGTAAATTTACGATGCTGGCTCATGTGGAGATTTCCAATCACAGGAAGTGGCAAGCACAAGACGGTGATATCAAGAACAATGTCGGTAGCGGCCATCGTTACCTGGAAGACTCCATAATTAATGTCACGTAGCCGAGAGGGTCCACCGTTGGATTCCCAGAATTTATAGATTGGCCAAACCGAGAAGATGTGAGCCTTGTACTATGAGCGTAGCCTAGAAGTGCTTTAGGGTGTGAACTCACGAAGAGGGCGCCCAAGGTCCAACAGGTCACAAGCAACATGACAATGTTCGCGGCTATCTTGAATCGCCTTGTCTGGAAGATTCTTTTGTAGAATAAAAGCACCGATAATTTGATGACACCGATCGATGCATAAGCCACAATGGCCTGAAAATAGAGATACTATGATAATAGTGAGCCAACTTAGTCCATCATTTTGGTCTAGGAGCGCACCTTTTGAAAGATGATCAAATCATGAGGAGTCATTGTTGAGACGGGTCTGCCGAAATTTGCACGGCAGGAGGAGTAGATCGTAATACAGCAAAGAGCAATGGTCAAGCACTGAATTGGAACATTAATAGTCACTGTGTAGTGAATCATAGAGCTTTTCCCTACCAATGCGAAAACCACGACATAATCATCCGGTCCGTAACGTAAAGCCTGAGCCTTTCTAGCCCAAAGTCTGGAGATTACGGCGATGGAAGCAAGGATGGGGAAAACAACGCTACAAACTGTAGCGGCCACAGAGTACCGAGAATACATAGCGAGGTATACACGGGATGGTGTTTATTGTTTGAAAACGCAATCTGATTTATGGGTTCGGCTCCTTGATGTTATTGTGCAAGAACTCAGACTTTGCGTGAGGATTTTCCACGACAGCCTTTCACAACGAGACGTAAGCAACCCAAGTCGAGCTTCTGTCTCATCGACAGTGATCGGCCAACGGACTAAAAGAGGCGTAGACATATTTCCAAGTAAGTACCACACCACCAGCTTTCGGGTGAGACGCGCTGGCGTAGATCTTTGATGCGCAAGTTTGCGATTGGTACAAGAAGTGTGTGGCATATGTAAGCCCTGCATTAACACACTATCAGTTCATCGGCGATCGTCTAACAAGCTGAGATGCAAATGACTGATAGTATTATTTGATCGGTACGGCGCAGTCACCTGCAAGCTGTACACAGGAAATAGTGACAAAGCCTCGTGCTTGGACGCCGGGTTGCCTTAATGATAAAATGCTCGTGGGGAAGGAGTCTTGGCTGCCTAGTCTCCATTGTCCAACGGAGCTAGCGCGCACAAAGATATGTGCCTATCAATGCGTTGCTTTTTGCACCGGAAGGAAGTAAGAAACACCCTTATACCACTCCACCATTGTACCAGTGCCATAACGAAAAACCATACAGTTCAGATACCTTCAATAGCACTGGAGGCATATGCGTTCACGAAAGTAATAGGCTCTTTAAGTCGTCATTTCGTTGCAGCAAAGGCCGCATCTGAGAGTCCACCGGCTTTCTCCTGTGGGATGTAGGTCAAGTAACAAGGCGTCACATCCACAGGTACAATGTCATTGGGCCAATATGTATACAAAATTCAGGTTACAAGTCTATTGATTGGGAGACTAATTTTTGGTAAGAGACAACTTGCATCCATTTGCACTCTTGGAAGTCATTTGAACGTGCCCTTCCCATTCTCTTCCATCACGACTCTCAATATGGCTATACTCTTGCAGTACCCTAACAATAACGTATGAAGCTTCCATCAGCGCTTTCTGCTGTCCAACGCAAGCGCGAGATCCACCGCCAAAGGGCACATACTCCCAAGGGTTCGGCTTGAAAGTATACCATCTTTCTGGCTTGAAGTCTGCTGCATCCGAGCCCCATATAGAAGGTAGACGGTGAAGAGTGTAGAAGGATGTCGCTAATACTGTCCCTTCTCTGACGTAGACAGGCGAAGTACCATTGGGACCTCCACCTAAAGGAAGCTTCGTGTCTCTGAGGGCGACTCGAAACATTTGACTGAAGATGGGGTGCAAGCGCAAGGCTATGGTTCAGCACTTGAGTCTGCACGAAGACCTGGACGTATCATGAATATGACTCACTTTCATTCAGGACGTCCCGAAGATACTTCATGCTTGACAACCGCTCAAAATCCAGCTCCACTGCTTTCGATGGCCCCAATGAGTTCACTTCATCGCGGAGTCGCTGCAGCACTGGTGGATTGCGCGAAAGCTGGAAGAATGCATTGCTTATCAAGAATGCGGTGGTCTCGGAAGCGGCCATTAAAGCTTGCAGAACCTGGTTGCGGAGTTAAACGGTGGTCCTTCTGGGGGGCTCTTGTAACTAAAACCTTTCTGGGCCTTCGCTTTGTCTTTTTGTTAATTTTTTATCTTTTTCCTAGATTGTTGTTTTTCGTGGATTTTTTTCTAGGGTTTAATCCGGTTTTTTAAATGGGCATCTTTGGGCCGTATTAGGTTAATCTTTAGATTTGGGTGGGGTTGGTTTCATTAGTTTTTTCGGCGTTTTGGGGGTTTGAAAAAAAAAGGGTTTAAAGTAGAAGGATCGCTGGTTTTCAAGGGTTCTCCAACTTTCTGAAGTTTCTCCCCGGGGGGGCCAAATGAACTCGGTATTGAGGATTATTGGTGATGGGTCCAAGAAAGACAGGGTTTTAAGTTAAACTTTTGGTTCGCGCTAACGGCAGTGTGTAACAACAAACCGCTAAGGAGTGTGTAACAACTCACCGGCCGAATGAATCAGCCCTGAAAATGGATGGCGCTCAAGCGTGCTACCCATACCTCGCCGCCAGGGTAGAAACGATGCCCTGGCGAGTAGGCAGGCGTGGGGGTCAGTGACGAAGCCTTGGGAGTGATCCCGGGTAGAACGGCCCCTAGTGCAGATCTTGTTTTCAGACCCACTTGCTACGGCAGACGAGGACTGACGCTCCGACAAAAAGAAATCTATATCGTAAAGAAGTTTATAATAAGCGATTATATACTATAAAAGATAATTTAGAATTTATTAAATAGATATTAATTATTTAATATATATAATATAATAATAAGAAGAAAATATAGTAAATAATAATTAAAAATTAGAATTAAAATCGTAATTAGAAATAATATTATTAATAATATATAACGAAGATTTTAAAGCTATATATTAAATAATAAATAAACGTCTAATATAATATATACATATATTTAATTATTTTTATTTAATAAAATATTTATATATTAATATTACTTATATCTATTTAAAAGTATATACTTTATTTAAAAGTATACGATTAAAGTTAGAGTATAGCGTCGTAAATTTAAAAATATCTATTTATCTATATTATATATTATTTCTCTATATATTTTATATTATTATATTATAATATAACGAGTAAAGGCCTATGAATTAAATTCATAATTTTTTTTTGATTAGGGCTATCGAGTAAATTTTAGTAAGCGATCTTTGATGAGCGATATCTGAATTCCTTGCCTTTAAATATCTATAAGACTAAATTTAGTAATTCTTTTTTTCTCTAGAAGCCCATATCTCGTTCTATAATTTAAAAAAAAAATCTTAAAATTTTAATAGAAAATTAAAAAGTTATTCTAAAATCAAATAATGTATACCTGTTTTTTGATTAAGGCTGTCCGGCTGTCGAGCGAACTTTGGTGAGCGATATTTGAATTCCTTGCGCTTTAATAATTAAAAGACTAAATTTAGAAATTCTTTTTTTATCTGAAAGCCCACATTTCGTTCTATAATTTAAAAAAAAAATCTTAAAATTTTAATAGAAAATAGTAAAGTTATTAAAGGGTTAAAAGTAGAATAAGATATTTTTAATAATTGCGGACGCTAATTTATTTACCCGCGATGACTCAGCCGATCTAATTAAAGAGCGTAGTGACTCTAAATTTATAATTGACTGCACATATAAATTCAAGATTTTTAAGCTTAGCTCTATCTTATTCTTTTATATATATTAATCTATTAAAATTTATATTATAATTCCGCTTTTTGGATATATATATAATAATAAATAGAATTTACGATAATAAGTTCTAGTCTTAATCGTATATTTTTAAATAAAGTATACTTTTAAGTAGATATAAGTATATTCGATAAACGTCGACGCTAAGATAATAAGTTTAATCGAGAATCTTTCTTTATATTTAATAGCTTTCTTATATTAATTATTAAATAAATCTACTATCGATATAAATTACTACTCTATTTACTTCTAATAAAAATAAATTAGATTAGATCTTAAAGTAGTAAAAAAAAGCTATGAAAATTAATAAGAGATAGATATTTCTTAAAAAACGTAATAATCTTCTCTAGCGTATTTTATTACTTCTAAAATATTAATTAATAATAATTAAATATCGAATAACTATTAATTATCTTTTAAGTAATCTATTTCTTATTTTATATATTATATTTAATTTTATATAAACTATTACTATCTATAAAATACTTTAAGATAATATTAATTTATATATCTCTATTTAAAGTTCTTTTAAGCTCTATAAATTAATAGAAGTTACTTAAAAGTATTAGAAATTTCTCGAAAGTGTAATAATAGAGTTATTAAAAGAAGGAGATATCTATCGAGTAAGATTAAATCCTACTTCTATCTCTATATTATTAAAGATATTACGAGGTAATTATAATTAATAAGACTTAAAGACTATTCGAGCGTATCTTATATATTATAAGAATATTTAAAATCGAGATTTTAGACGAGAGATTAGTAGAAATAGAGATAATACTTTTAAGATACGCGGGAAATATAAAGTATATTAAATCTTTTTATATTATAAAGGAAATTACGTAAGACGATTTTATAAAAGAAATAATATATTAAACTCTATATAATAGATCTAGACTATATTTATTAAAATATATTAATATAAGTTTAGACCTATGAATTAAATTTATAGAAAGTAATTTATTTTTAAATCTAATTTCGAGATTAAATTCGATTCTCGAACTTCGAAGAGTAAAAATATTTTAATTTAAGATTTACTTAGAATTATAAGATTAAATTTTTAAATTTTTAAATTATTAGAAAGCGTAAATTAAGTTCTATAATTTAATTTTTTTTAATAATATTTTAATAGAAAAAAGAAAAGTTATATTAATAATAGATTTCTAGAAATTTAATTAATTTTAAAATAATTTTAATTTAATTAATAAGAAGTTAATTTTAATATTTATTATAGTCTTTTTATTTTAATTACTATTATTATTATTTTTATAATTTATAAAATTTTTATTAGTTTTACGATTTTTACGAATTCTACGATTTTACGATTTTACGATTTTTTAGCGAGGGAGATTAATCAATTTAAACCGAGGACGAAGCGAAATAGTTTCGAAATTTATTGAAATTATTACTACTCGACTATCTAAGCTTATATAAAAGAGTATTCTTAATAAAGTAAATAAGTTTTTAATAAGTAATATTTAAATTCTCTACCTTTAAACATTTATAAGACTAAATTTAAAAATTCATTTTTTATCTAAAAGCCTATATTTCGTTTTATAATTTAAAAAAAAATCTTAAAATTTTAATAGAAAATAAAAAAGTTATTTAAAATTAAATAATATATACTTAATTAGAACTATTCGACTATCGAGCGAACTTTAGTAAGCGATATTTGAATTTCTTGCCCTTTAATATTTATAAGATTAAATTTAGAATTTTTTTTATCTAAGAGCTTATATTTTATTCTATATATTAATAACGTATATCTATTTTTTTAATAATTGCGAACGAACTTTAATAAGCGATATTTGAATTTCTTACGCTTTAATAATTATAAGATTAAATTTAGAAATTCTTTTTTTATCTAAAAGACTTATATTTTATTCTATAATTTAAAAAAAAATCTTAAAAATTTAATAAAAAATAAAAAAGTTATTTTATATATTAATAACGTATATCTATTTTTTTAATAACTACGAATATTAATTTATTTACTCGCGGTAAATTAATTAATCTAATTAAAAAGCGTAGTAAACTCGAATTTATAATTAACTATATATATAAATTTAATATTTTTAAGCTTAATTCTATCTTATTTTATTATATATATTAATAATAAAATAATACGATAGTAATCGAAATAATAGTACGAAGAAAATAATTTGTTATCTCTCGACGTTTATCGAATAATTAAAGATATATTATTAAGACTTACTTAGTTATTCGCGATAAATATAAATAAATTAATCTTTTATTAATTAATTATAAATATATAAAATAACTATAAAGAATATATTTATATTAATAGATTAATATATTCTTATAAAATTATATTCTATATAAATAAGTATAATCTTACTTTTTATATTAATCTTTAATATTATCTTTCTTTATATCGACGTTTATATAATATAAAATAAGAGAAATTATATTATCTAACTCGATATTTATTATAAATATCTTTAAAGTCGAATTTAATATATTTTAATTAATATTCTAAAGTTTTAATAACTTAATAAACTTCTTATAACGTTATAATAAAAGAGATTTAATAAATTCGTTTACGAGAATATCTATTAACAAAGTTTAATATTATATTAAAAATTATTACTTTAAAGTATTTCTATTATTAATATAATTATATTTAATTTAAACTTAATAATTTGAAATCTAGTTTTATTATTTAAAAGAAACGATTTTACTATAATAATTCTTTCTTAATAATTAAGAATACGAGTAATTAAAAATACGAGTAATTATATCTCGATAAAGTTTATAATAATCGTTTTCTACTTTATTAGCTTTTAATTAATTATCTTATTATAGAGTTTAAAGATATATTTTTAAGAGTTACGACGTATATTTAAGTTATTAATATAAAATACGTCGTTCGATAATACGAGAAGTATTATTTTAAGATTATTTATTTAGATATTAAATACGATATTATAAAACTTTATATTATAAAATAGAGTATATTTCTCTAAATTACTAAGCTAAAAGAGAGTATAATCTCGTTAAGATAGTAAAATTATTTTAATATAGTCTATATTCGTAATACTTTATATAATTTAAATATTATTAAATATATTTTACTACGACTTATTAGATTTTAAAGAAATTTACGAGAAATTTAAATAGTTTAAAGATAATATATATAATATCTAATTATATAATAATAGTCGCGAAGTTAATAAATTCTATATATTATTAATATATATAAATATATTATAAAGTACTCTATTAATTAATTTTAACTAGATTTTTCATTATTAATAATAAGAATTTAAAAGTTCTT